ATAAGTGAAGCCCTACTGTGATGAACTAACCCGCCCTCCATCCTAAGCGCTAATGCTGCTAAGGTGTGAGATCTAGAAATTCAGCGACAAGCCCAACGATAACCCCATTTTGAAAACGGTCCGCACTCTATCCGTGGAAGTGTTATGCATGCTTGACTGTCGGACCAGACACTTAATCCAGATACCCCCCAAAGAGAAACCCTACTTGGAAAGGGGCTAATAAACCTTCCATCTGTACATCTCTTGCGCATGCTCAAGTTCCGTACCGTGCCACGGCTTGTGGACGACGCAACCAGGAGCCCCACTGTAAATAGACGCTGCCCTTAATCCGTGGAACTACAGGGCCTTTGCAACACACATTTGCGGGACACTATATTGTCAAAACGGTGCGCCCTCCATCCGTGTAGAAATCAAGCGAAAGACCTGGCCTACCCTACCGACGCGCTGGTGATAAGAAGAAGACAAGAAGGAGAAGGAGGAGGAGGAGGAGGAGGAGGAGGAGAAGTCCGCCGTCCCCCTTGTGGGGCCATCAGGCTGCGAGGGTTAGGCTTGCTGCTCCCTGCACCAGTTCCAGTTTCCAGTTTCCATTGTTACAATACTGCTTTCTGCTTCCTACTGTAAATTGTTACTGTCCGCGCGAGGGGGGGGGGAGCCGAAAACCACTCTGGTTACAGTCCCCCGGGGGGGTTCTCAGAATTCCTGGAGGGGTCAAAATTGACACCCCTCACGCAGATCGGTGGGGTCAGGGTCCAAAAACACAAGGGATTTGCCACATTTCTGAAATTCGGTGGCACCCCTCACGCAGATCGGCAGGGTCAGGGTCCAAAAACATATGAGAGTTGCCACATGTCTGAAATTCGGCGGCACCCCTCACGCAGATCGGCGGGGTCAGGGTCCAAAAACATAAAGGAATGTGCCACATGTCTGAAATTCGGCGGCACCCCTCACGCAGATCGGCGGGGTCAGGGTTCAAAAACACATGGGGTTTGCCACATTTCTGAAATTCGGTGGCACCCCTCACGCAGATCGGCAGGGTCAGGGTCCAAAAACATATGAGAGTTGCCACATGTCTGAAATTCGGCGGCACCCCTCACGCAGATCGGCGGGGTCAGGGTCCAAAAACATAAAGGAATGTGCCACATGTCTGAAATTCGGCGGCACCCCTCACGCAGATCGGCGGGGTCAGGGTTCAAAAACACATGGGGTTTTCAGCATTTTTGAAATTCGGTGGCACACATCACGCAGATCGGCGGGGTCAGGGTCCAAAAACACAAAGGATTTGCCACATTTCTGAAATTCGGCGGCACCCCTCAGGCAGACCGGCGGGGTCAGGGTCCAAAAACAAGTGGGATTGCCGCATTTCTGGAATTTCCTGGCACCCCTCACGCAGATCCGTAGGGTCAGGGTCCAACAACAAAAGGGATTTGCCACATGTCTGAAATTCGGCGGCACCCCTCACGCAGATCGGCGGGGTCAGGGTCCAAAAACAAATAGGTCCCGACACTGCTTCACGGCAAACCCAAAGCATCATGACTTCGCTCTTCCATGGCCCATTCTCCGAGAGAGGGGGCTGGCGGCAGGGGGCGAAGCCCTTACGGATTACATGCAAAGGAGAAGAAAGATGAAGGAGAGTTGCGAGGATGCCGAAGAGGAGGAGGCAAAGGAATGTGGTGGGTGAGGAAGAGGGCGATGGCAAAGAACATAAGGCTGAGAAGGATGAGTCGGAGAAAGGGGGTGAGGAAAGAGGACCGGTGTACGTGAAGGGACGAGGGAGAAGGCGGCGGAGGATGACGATGTGGAAGACCTGGAACAGGAGGAAAGCGAAAGCAGTCCTGATGGTTGGTGCCTGGCAGTCGCGTGGTGGACGTCTTCTTCTTGTTACGCGTTGCGACATTGGGCGGAAAGGGGGGGAGGGAGGGGAGTCTGGCGCTGGGCCTCTACTTAGTGCAAGATCTACAGAAGGGGCGTTGACCGAAGGAACCGTAAATAAGGAACGAGGCCCTTTTTTTCCATAACCTCATGCCCGTGAGAATAAACACTAGGGGATAATAAAGTTCGGGGTTCAGGGAGAGATAATAAAAGTAGCCCAGCAGACCTCAGCATAATCTCGAAGTAAGAGATGATCAAGAGGAGACCAAGCCGAGCACGTTTTGAGACATCCTTGGCGTTTAGTTTTCATAGAAATATCCTCAACAATGGCTTATCTCTCATGAAAATTGTTTTTTGTAAGTGCTCGTGTAGGGTAGCTCATGTGCCTCAATTTCCATGGATAATCAACCCCAGAGATAAAAAAGTTCAGGCGAGCGTGGGGACAGAGAGAAATATAAAAAAGAAGAATACAGTAGAATAATAATAAGAAAGAAGAAGAAGAGGAGAATAAGAAGAGGACGAAGAAAGGAAAAATCCAAAGATCCAAATCTATCAATTTTAATGTACAAACGCTTTATGCAAATTGTTTTTTTTAAGTGCTCGTGTAGGGTAGCTCATGTGCTTCATTTGCCATGGATAATCAACCCCAGGGATAAAAAAGTTCAGGCGAGCGTGAGGACAGATAGAAATATAAAAGAAGAAGAGGAAAATATAATAATAATAAGAACACTGCTCGTTTCGTTTGAGTCTGCCTCCCAAAATTATTGGTTTCGCTTGACACATCCTGAAAAGTGTGATCGCTTCGCTTGATGTTGCTATATCAACATCGCTTGATGTTGCTATCTCAACATAGCGTTTCGAGGTGATAATGAAGTTCGGCCTCAGCGCTCGCCGCCCAATTTGAATTTTGTATAGGGCGACGATAATCAACTCTAAACACTGAAGGGGGGGGGTCCCTTTATTATCATCGGCATGCGGTTAAGTTAACCTTCGATTTCCTGTCGAACACTTAAGGAACATGGAGCCCCTCCCCAACGAAAAGGGTTCCTTCCTCAGCGCCCCGACTGTACTCCATGGGGTGGTGGTGGGGTGGGGTGGCGAGGGCCAGCGCCGATCGGCAAAACAAATAAGGAGAAAACGGCGACGTGTCTGTGAACATCACGGCGCCGTCTGCGAGAACGGCTTCATGCACCTTCCTTCGACCCCGCCTCTGCTCACGCGCGCAAGCTGCTTGCTCGGGAGTGCCTGCGTTGCGAACTGGTGCTTCGTAATCGCACTTGGCCTGTGGACGCAAGGCCATGAAGAGAGATCAGAGGTTGGAACATACCTGCCCTGGTCCCTGAAAGACGGCGCATCATGAGGTTCAGTTCAGCTCCCAAATATCCAGAGCCTGTCAAAATGGAGGAACAGGACGCCGAGGACGGAGAAGACACCGCACAGACGGATGATGAACCCCTCATGCAATGGAGGTCGGAACCTGGCTCTGGAGGCTCATCTCTTACTCTGTAACGTATGTTTCGTTCGCGGTTTGGTTAACGATTTGCTCATGAGGTTAAAAGCTCTCGACTCGAGCTGTAAGTCAAAAGATTTGAATTATGAAGCCGCTCTTGCTATATCAAAATCTTCATAATTCGGCGACGGACAAAGCAGTGCGGAACTCTACGAGGTCCCAGGCGGTAACCAGGTTGAGCAGAGGCGGGGGGAGGCGAAACGGCGGACGGTTGGAACGAGAGGCCGACGAAGTCCCCCGGAGTAGGCGTCGACATCGACGACGGCGAGGGCGTAGGAGGTGCCCGCGTCGACGACGGCGGAGGAGACGTCGAGGAGCTCCTCCTTCCTGACGCCGACGACACAGAGGTTGAGCAGATAGACTGCGAAGGCGAGTGGCGAGTGGCGAGCTGGGCCAAGCCTGCAGCGCCCGCGGGGTAGCGATGCGCATGCAGGGGGGCACCGCCCCGGCGGCGAGGCGGCCGGCGGCGGCGAACGTGCTGCTGTTGGTCTGAGGAGTCCTCGTCGCCCTGCCTTCCGCCCTCTCCCTCCCCCATCCTCCATCGTCCCATACTCCTCCACCTCCACCTCCTCCTCCTCCTCCTCCTCCTCCTCCTCTTCCTCCTCTGTTTCTGCGCTGGGCGAACTGAAGCCCCGGGGCTGGAGGGCACCGCGCTGAACAATGAACGCGCGAAGCCGACTTGGACAAAGCGCGAACACACGCGGCAAGGCCAGCGTAGAAGATGAAGGGACAGGGCATGGGAGAGAAACAAAAAGAAGTAACCCCAAAGGCTCGACGTATACGTTTGCCTCGTAACCGAAACGAGCGAACGAATAGAATCGTAACGAAACCTACTGAGGGGAACGCCGCACAGGAGGAGCAGAAGTACACGCGCAAGTGAACATGGGAAGAAGCTCCTCCTCCTCCTCCTCCTCCTCCTCCTCCTCATCCTCCTCCTCCTCCTCCTCCTCCTCCTCCTCCTCCTCCCCATCGAGCGAGGACCGTCGAAGGAGGGCCAGTTGACGAAGGCGGCGAGAAGCCCACGGGAGGCCCAGAAACGAGAACGCCTAGTAGGGCCGCCCGCCCCTCCTCTAGGGGGCGTCCAGGGGGGCGCGTCCACGAGGGGACGTCGCAAATCATGGCCCGAGGCACCTGCGCGGCCCCAAAGGGGGGCCAGGGGACGCATTGAAATGAGAAGAAGGCACCGTGATATCCCGGGGCACAGCATGGCCCTTCCGTGAGATCCCCCCCCATTGGGCATCGCCCCTCTCGTGCCCGGCCCCGACCCCCCCGATGCCGAGGTGGCCGCCCGCTCCCCGCGACGCCCCCCGTCGCCCCGCGCGTGCGGAGCCGGAAGCGGGGCGCCGGGCGCCGGCGCCAGGCGCCGAGCTGGCTGCGCGAGAGGCGGCGCTCGGAGGAGAGCCGCGCGAGGCAACGGCGGTGAGACAACGGCGGCCCACGTCCGCTCAAGATCCTGCCCCCCCTGACCCCTCCCCTGGGTCCAAACGCACCAGTTTTCCTAGCTGAGTCCTGCAGTGGCCATGGTGGGGTCCCCCAGAGGGCCAGAAAGGCAACCCTTGTCTCAATACGCCCTCCTCCGAGGCGTGCTGAGCGCCGCGCGGCGGCCGCCGCGTGGCGCCGCTCACTGCCCGGGCAGGTCGAGCTCCTCGCGGGGGGGGGGGCGCGAGCTTGGGATACAGTAGGGGCCCGACCACAGAAACTTTCCACAAGAAATCCGACCCTGAGACCCCAGGGCGTCCCCTGATTTCTGGTGTGGGAGCGTCACGCTTTCCACCGCAGAACCATCGAAACTCAGGAAACCCAGGGCACCCTGGAGGTGAGCAGGGCGTTTCTAGGCGTGGGTCTCCACTGTAGGCCAGGGGTGAAGAATCCGCTCGCGTGGATGGAGAGGAGGCGGAGGAGGAGGAGGAGGAGGAGGAGGAGGAGGAGCAGGATGAGGAGGAGGAGGAGGAAGAAGAGGAGCAGGAGAAAGGAAGAGGAGAAGGAGGAGAAAGGAAGAGGAGGAGGAGGAGGAGGAGGAGGAGGAGAGGAGGAGCTGGTTTTCCTGGCGCTTCCTGGCGCCCACGCGAGGAGAAGTGGGCCCTCTGCGGCGGGGCCCGAGGCCAGCCCCTCCTCCCCCCCCTCCTCCTCCTGCTCCTCCTTCTCCTCCCCCTACTCTTCCTCCTCTTCCTCCTCCTCCGCTTCCTCCTTCTCCTCCTCCTCCTCCTCCTCCTCCTCCTCCTCCTTATCTTCCTCCTCCTCCTCCTCGTCCTCCTCCTCCTCCCTGGGTTTTGTTTCCGAGTCGAGCTCCTCGCGGGCCTCCTTCCTGCGGTGGCGCGCACCAGGGGGCAGGGAGCGAGGGGAAGGCTTCTTAGAAGGAGGCCGCTTCCCAGGAGGCGCGAGCCCGACATCCACGGATGAGCCCCGCGCCTGCTCAGAAGCAGGGGGCGCCTCTGAGAAGCCTTCCCCCCTCCCCCCTGCCTCTCCTCTGCGCGTGGCCCCCCTCCCGCTCCTCCTGAGCTCCCCTCCAGGATCGAGGATGGCGCGATGCGGCGAGGGTACGGCCGGGAGCTCCCGCACCGCGTGTCGTGGCGCGGCCCCGCCGGCACGCTACGCCCTGCAAGCGGTAGCGTTCCACTCGGAGGCGCCCAGGGACGAAGAGCACGGGGACGAGAAAGGGCCAGGATGGCGAGCCGAGGCCTCCGGACGCGTGTGGCCTCTTCCTTGGGGGCGGCCGTGGGGCGGAGGAGCCGTCGGAAGCCCGTGGAGAGCTCCAGAGGCCTTCGGGAGGCCTCGGAAGACCCCCCGCTCGAAAGGACTGTCAAGCCTGCTCGGATGCTGACGTGTTTTGTGTGCCAAGCGCAGGTAGCTTTCGCCCTCCAGGGGCTCTTCAGCCGAAATGTCACTGCACAGAAGCATCGGATGAAAGGTCGCTCGGATGAAAGGTCTCTCTCCGGAGACCGCTCGGGGCCCTCGGATGCCGGCGTCGGGAGCAAAACAAAAAAACACGACGGGCGCGTTCGCCCCGATCACGGGCACGGGGATCCTCACGGCTCGATCCAGGTCCGAGCAGACATGCAACAAATATACGTGGGGTCAAAGGCTGCAGCCGCGGATCTGCTTTGCCGCGACGCTGACACTTCTCTCGCGGCACCCGATCTCGGGGTCCTCCTCCCCAGGGTCCTCAAGACGCAACAGTCAGGTTGATACGCGGCGTTGGAGTCCCGAGAATGGTGTTTTGGCATGCCTCAGGGTCTTCAAACGGTTGCCCCCCAACGAGGCAGTTCCCTCAGCGGAAACTGACCCTTCCTGGGGCCCATGGAACGGGAGCTTGGGGGGAGGGTTTATTCCAACACCGCTGCTGAGCCTTGAGTTTGCACTGACCTCGGGGTCCCCCTCCCCCCCCCACCTTCCACCTTCCCCTCCCCTTTGCCCGCGAGGCGCGCCCCCGGGGTGGCACCGGGAGCCCCGCCAGGGGAAGGGGCGTCCCGCGCCGACCCAAGGCATCCGCGCGGGCCTCCGAGCGCTGACGTGTACGTGACCTGCTTCCTCTTCTTCGATCCTCCCCAGTTCCTGCTCCCCCTCCTCCTCCCCCTCCTCCTCCTCCTCCTCCTCCTACTACTACTACTATTCCTCCTACTACTCCTGCTCCTCCCTCCCTCCCTCCCTCCCTCCCCGGAGGCGGGGGCCAGCGCATGTGTGGCTACTATCCTGCCTCAAGTTTGGGCACTCCCGGCGTTTGCAGTGTACGCTCGCGCAGTGTGTTGTGCGACGCAGCTTGTGTTGCAGCCGAAAACTTCTGCAGATGTAGAGGAAGAAAAACGGCATACACATACACTGTCAACGGTCCGCGCGGACTTCTTGGAGACGCGCTGGAACCCCCTGCCTGGCGCGCGGAGCGCGCCAGGGGCGTCGCCGGAGGCCTCCGCCGAAGGGCGGCCAACGCGGATCCAAGAAGTCCACGGGGAGTGCCAAACGTTTGTGTGTTAGGGCGTTTTATCTTCTTCGAGTGTGCAGTTCCTTCGTCTTCGAAGCGAGGCACCCCGTGCTTCGCGCTGGCCCTGCTGCCAGCAGGCCTGGCTCCAGCTGCCGGTTCGTGGGTCGCAGGGCCGACCTGTGCTCGAGCTCCTGCAGCTCGAGCTCTCCCCCTGCGGAAGACTTGACGTCCCGAAGCGGTGCGGTGACAGACCGTGCGGTGACCTCGAGATACCCCAAGACCTCACCGCACGGTCCGTCAACGCACGGTTTTGGGACCCTGGAGGCCCCTGTCGCCCGAGACATCCTCGGAGAGGGACTCGATTCCCAAAACCGTGCGGTGACCCCGAATACCCATCGACTCACCACACAGAGTACAGTCACCACACCGTTTGGGAGCCCCCGAGAAGAGGCGAGGAGCAGGAGCCGGAAGGGAAGCAGGGAGGAGGAAGAGGGAAGGAAGGCGCGAGGGGGGCCGAGGAGACTTAGGGAAGGCACGGGCGGATCGAAGAGCCCTACAAAGCAGAGGCGTCAAACACTGGAGACGCGATGCAGGGCGGGTAGTGCCTACGCGGCACGTAATCCACTTCGGCGACCGCGCCTCCCATTGTGTATTCAAGCGTCGGGACATTGCGACTGACCTCTTCGATCCGATTCGGCTCCCCAAATCCCCACAGATCATCCCAGCCCGACGTGCCAAGTATCTACGCAAGTCGATGGCTCCGACCACGGCTTTTCACGACGTTGCGATCTCTTCAAGACGCTGGGTGTCGGGGATGGCAGGCTCGCCCGTCCAGGGGAGCCTGCCATCCCCGACACCTGGCGTCATGAACGGGGGCAAGGGGGAGGAGCAGGAATAGAGATGCAGCTGACGCGCAGCAAGCTCCGATCGTTTCAAAGCAACTCGGGGGCATCCAAGAGAGGGGCGTCCAAGAGGGGGGGGGCGCAAATCATGGCCGGCGGTATGTGCGCGACCAAGGGGGGGACTGGGGTCGTAGAGGAATCAGAAGAGGCGCCACGAAATCTGAGGAGATATCATGCCCCCCGCCATGATCTCCACACACCCACACCACCACCCTCTTCGCCGCCCCCGAGCAAAGCAATGGCAACAACTCCCCCCCGAACGGACTGCCTCGCCGGCTGGGCCCCGCGCGCTGACGCATGCAGGGCCCTGCCGGGGCGCCCGGCCTTGGGCGGGGCCGCTCGCTCACTGCTTCACCTGCTTGGCGTTCTTGGTGGCGGCGATCTCGGCCTGTGGGACACCCTCGATGCGATCACCAGCCCGGTCCACCGCCGCCCTCCGCCCTCCCTCGTCGCCCGCGAGGGGCGAGGGGGACCAACGGACGAGGGAGAGGACGGGGGAAGAGGCTTGGACTGGCGTCGTATACGAGGATCTCCAGGCCTGGGCCCGGGCGATCTCCTTCTTGTCGTAGAGGGCGTCCTGGTGCAGCGCGGAGAAGTTCCCAGCGATCGCCTTGCCGTCGCGGATCTGCTGCGCCATGCCCGGGTAGAGCTTCTCCGGCAGCTCCATGAGGGTGCCCTCGACGTCCTTCTGGCCGGGCACGGGCCTGCAGGCCGATATGTCCACGCTCTTGGGGAGCGCGTAGGGGCCGCCGCTGGCGATCTTCGCCACCTCGGCGCGCGTGGCCGCCAGCTGCCCCTTCTCCTCCAACAGTCGGGGCAGGGTCTCCTCGATGAGCTCCAGCTGCTGGAAGTTGACGGGGAGCTTGTTGTCAAGGGCGATCTGCGCCTTCCTTGCCAGCTCGGGGTCGAACGCCTTCATCTTGTCGACGTTCTCCTGGGTGAAGGTGGCGCGCATCTGGGTAATGGTCCTCATCTCAAGTAGCTTTGACACAGCCATCACGCCGGGATGGCTGACGAAGCGGAACTGCTGCTCGATGCCGAAGTTCACGAACACATCCGGTGCCTTCTCGGCGCAGCGCCGGAGGCTGCGCGCCAGCGCCATCGCTTGATGCGGGGACGGCGGCCAGGCGGAACGCGGCGTGGGCCTGGCTCGGGCCTGGATGGCGCCGACGGGGCGAGGGCTGAGAGCAGGATGACAGGAAGATTGATGAGGGGATGGGGGGGCGGGGGGCAGGGGGAGAGGGCGGCAATGGAAGACCGGGTGGATGGAGGAGAGGAGCCGAATAGCAACAGGGAGGAGGAGGAGCAGCAGCAGGAGGAGGATAACGACATCTCATCGTCATCATCATCATCATCACCACCACCATCATCATCACCATCCTCATCATAATCATCCTAATAACACTCATCATCATGATCATCAGCATCGTCATCATCATCATCATCATCATCATCATGATCATCATCAACACCATCCTGACCATCGTCACCATCATCCGCATCATCATCATCGTCATCACCATCATCATCACTTCCATCATCATCACCATCGCCATCATCGTCATATTCGCAATCATCATCATTGTCGGTAACATCACCACCATCATTACCACCACCACCACCATCATCATCATAAGCATCGCCACCACAGTCATCATAATCATCATCATCACCATGACCATGAACATGACCATGACCATGACAACGACCATGACCATCACCACCATCATCATCACAACCATCATCACTATCGCAATCCTCCTTACCATCGCAACCATGAGCACCAAGATCGTCGTCATGCACATCATTATTAGCATCGTCGTCGTTTCGCCGAACTAATGCTTAAGGAGAGGCCTCCAGGAACATCAGGCCTGCTCCGCGTGAGGGGCTCAAACGGGCCGTTGGGAGTGAAGGAGTCCAGCACCAGGTCGGATGCGCGCCTTAGGGAACATTGACGAGGTGTGGGGGGCTCGGAACGGGATTTCGGGAGGCTTGTCTCTTGGGGTCTTTTGGAGCCCCGCTTCGATACGTTTGGAGGAGTGTCGCAACGATCACCATCATCATCATCCTCATCGTCATCCTCATCATCCTTATCAACATCATCATCATCATAATCATCATCCTCATAATCCTCATTCTCACCAGCAGCATCATCATCGTCGTCGTCACCGTTATCATCACCAACATACGCAACATCAACACCAACTTCAACGTCATGTTCATGATGAGCAGCATCACCATCATCATCGTCATTGCCATGATGTCATCGTCATCCCATCAGCACCCTGATCAGCGACATGATCGTCATCGTCACACTCATCCTCCTGATCATGACGGGCATCCGCATCACCGTTGCAATCACCACCACCATCATGATCAGTAGCATCGTCATCATTCTGATCACCATCGTCACCACCACCATCATCACCACCACCATCGAGACCATCGTCATCGGAGGCTCGGGGAAAAGATCGCAGCGGAACGAAGAGCCCCCAGTTTCGGTTTTTGTATTCGTGTCGTGCGGGCGGGCGAGGCGAAGCTGCGTGGTCGCGCGAAAGGAATAATCCCGACGTCTCTATTGCGATTTGGATGCAAAAGTTCGGCCCTCCGGTGGGCGCACGGTGGCTGGGGGTGTCCCGCCGTGGTATACCGCGTTGTCTCGATGGTGTCCCGCGGTGTCCCGCGGTGGTGTCCCAATGGTGACTCGTGGTGTCCCGTGGTGTCCCGTGGTATCTCAGTGGTGTTCAGCGGTATCCCTTGGTGTCCACTGGTGTCCCGCGGTGTCCCGCCGTGGTGTCCCGATGTTGTCCCGATCGATAATGAAATCACGATCGACAATGAAATCGACAGTGAGATCGATAACGACCGAGATGTGGTGAGGTCGGTACTGAGATCGACACCAAGATCGATAGTGAGGTCGATGGTGAGATCGATAGTTGCATCGATCGTGCGAACGACTGTGAGATCGATAGTGAGATCAACAGTCGCATCGATATTGCAATCGATAGTGAGGTCGATAGAGCGATCAATTGCGAGATCGACAGTGATATCGATAGTGGGACCGATAGTGAGCTCGATTGTAAGATCGATTGAGATCGCTTCAGAGACCGATTGTGAAATCACTCGTGAGATCGGTCAAGTGAGATCGATCGTGAGATCGGTCGCAAGATCGATAGCGAGATCGATTGTGCCATCGACTATAGGGTCGGTAGCGAGATGCATTGAATGAGATCGATCGTCAGATCGATCGTGAGACCGGTTGTGAGATCGACCAAGTGGATCGGCAGTGAGATCGACTGTGGGACCGGTTCAGTGGGATCGTTGCAACCACCAGTCAGCAAGCATTTATCACAGCGCAGTGGTGGCGGCACTGATTTGGCTCGATGATGTCCCGATGTCCCGATGGTGTCCCGATCGAACTCAGCGCCACTCAGTGTGAGATCGTGAATGAGATCGATCGCTGGATCCATAGGTACTAAGACTGGCAGTGAGGTCGATAGTGAGATCGATCGAGTGTCATCGATACCGGCGCCGATTGTGATATCACACCGCGGCATAGCATCGTCATCACGCGTCGTCGCCAACGCGAGGGCGCGCCACCAGCATCGTCATCATCACACGCATCGCACCTGTCAGCAATTGGTAATTTTCCCTCCCCCCAGCCTCCTGATCATCCGAAAGGTGGCCGTATAGGTATCTACATATATATATATGTATACATATATATATGTACACAGACATACACGCAAGCAGGAGGACAAAGACTTGGAAGCTTCGAAGAGTGCGCGCGTCTCGCCTGCCACGACAAGGTCTCGGCAGCTTCGGAAAGGAAGCAGCGACGGTGTACCGATTCTGATCGTACCTGGCTTCCTCCCGCCCCACCACCCCCGAACGCCCGAACGGACTGCCTCGCCGGCTGGGCCCCGCGCGCTGACGCATGCAGGGCCCTGCCGGGGCGCCCGGCCTTGGGCGGGGCCGCTCGCTCACTGCTTCACCTGCTTGGCGTTCTTGGTGGCGGCGATCTCGGCCTGTGGGACACCCTCGATGCGATCACCAGCCCGGTCCACCGCCGCCCTCCGCCCTCCCTCGTCGCCCGCGAGGGGCGAGGGGGACCAACGGACGAGGGAGAGGACGGGGGAAGAGGCTTGGACTGGCGTCGTATACGAGGATCTCCAGGCCTGGGCCCGGGCGATCTCCTTCTTGTCGTAGAGGGCGTCCTGGTGCAGCGCGGAGAAGTTCCCAGCGATCGCCTTGCCGTCGCGGATCTGCTGCGCCATGCCCGGGTAGAGCTTCTCCGGCAGCTCCATGAGGGTGCCCTCGACGTCCTTCTGGCCGGGCACGGGCCTGCAGGCCGATATGTCCACGCTCTTGGGGAGCGCGTAGGGGCCGCCGCTGGCGATCTTCGCCACCTCGGCGCGCGTGGCCGCCAGCTGCCCCTTCTCCTCCAACAGTCGGGGCAGGGTCTCCTCGATGAGCTCCAGCTGCTGGAAGTTGACGGGGAGCTTGTTGTCAAGGGCGATCTGCGCCTTCCTTGCCAGCTCGGGGTCGAACGCCTTCATCTTGTCGACGTTCTCCTGGGTGAAGGTGGCGCGCATCTGGGTAATGGTCCTCATCTCAAGTAGCTTTGACACAGCCATCACGCCGGGATGGCTGACGAAGCGGAACTGCTGCTCGATGCCGAAGTTCACGAACACATCCGGTGCCTTCTCGGCGCAGCGCCGGAGGCTGCGCGCCAGCGCCATCGCTTGATGCGGGGACGGCGGCCAGGCGGAACGCGGCGTGGGCCTGGCTCGGGCCTGGATGGCGCCGACGGGGCGAGGGCTGAGAGCAGGATGACAGGAAGATTGATGAGGGGATGGGCGGGCGGGGGGCAGGGGGAGAGGGCGGCAATGGAAGACCGGGTGGATGGAGGAGAGGAGCCGAATAGCAACAGCACAGAAAGGAGGAGGAGGAGGAGGAGGAGGAGCAGTAAGAGAAGGATGATAATGACATCTCATCATCATCACCACCACCATCGTCATCATCATCACCACCACCACCATCATCATCATCATCAGCATCATCATCACCACCACCACCATCATCATCATCAGCATCATCATCAGCAGCATCATCATCAGCACCATCATCATCAGCATCATCATCATCATCAGCAGCATCATCAGGCGGGACGCGGCGTGGGCCTGGCTTGGGCCTGGATGGCGCCGCCGGGGTGGGGGCTGGGGGTAGGACGGCACGATCTGAGGCCAGAGGGAGAGGGAGGCAAGGGGAGAGCGGGCTGGAGCAGACGGCTGCGGGGGCCAGACATTCGCAACGAGGGATGGGGGGGGGGACCCAAAGAGGGCCCCTGGAGGGGCCCAGGATTGCGCAAGGGGGCCCCCAGACGTCGCAGAGTGACCCTAAGACAGCCCAAAGAGCACCCCCGAGACGACCCAGCGGCCCCAGAGATAGCCCAAGAGAGCCCCAAGATGGCCCAAAAGTGCTTATAAAAAGTCCAACGTCCAACGAGAGCCCCAAGACGAGACACCGAAGACTGCGCAAAAGAGGGCCCCCAAAGAGCCCCCAAAGGACCAAGAAGGAGATCGCCGAGACAAGCAAATAGGACGCAAGTACCGCTGGAGTCAACCCTTGAGACAGTCGCAGCAAAACACATCGAAGGCGCCTCCTGCGAACTACCGCCGCCTCTTTGGCCGAGCAGCAGGCTATCCTGGCAGCATCTTCTGTGTCATCGTGGCGCCTCTTGAGGTCTCGTGGGCTGGTGTGCCTCGGCCTCGTGGCCGCTCTAGGTTTACCAAAGGCTCGAACAGGGACGCCACCAGAATGCCAAGATAGCCTACATGGCCTCGAAGACGGCCCAAGGGGCCCCGAAGAGGGCCTCAAGAGCACAAGGCGGCCGAAGCCTGCACCAAGATGCTTTACTGATGGCCCAGAAAGGTACGGGCACGGCCCCCCAGAGACCAACAGCACACGTCCCACGGTCACCTCAAGACGGCTCCACAAGCCCCCGAGAGTGCCCAAGACGGCCCCAAGGTGCCACCCAAAGGCACCGAGAAGTCGTCCACTCGCCCTCGCCTCAACAAGGCCCCGAGAAGCCGCCAAGTGGCCCAACACGGCCCCAGGATGCCCCCTGGAGGCCCCCTTAGATGAGCCGCAGAGGCCCTGGCATTGCCAAATACGTCAAGGCTTGGCCCGAAAGGACCCACGAGGCGCAAAGATGACCCAATCCTCCTCCTGCTCCTCCTCCTCTCCTCCTCCTTCCCCTCCTCCTCCCTCCTCCTCCTCCTCCTCCCCTCCTCCTCCTCCTCCTCCTCCCTCCTCCCTCCTCCTCCTCCTCCTCCTCAATCTCCTTCTCCTCCAAAGGCTCCCAATGTTCCTCACATGGCCGCTTGGATGCCACACAGCTCAACACTTGGGGGGGGGGGGGGCAGCGGCAGAGGGCGCAGACTTTCAAACGTATGCCTGTGGCGAGTAGCAGCGCAGGCAGGGAGGCAGAGGGTCGAAGGCCCGGAAGGGCATCGACGGCGACGTAGAGAAACCAAGGGCGATGATCCTCCCCCTCCTCCTCCTCCACCACCTCCTCCCTCCTCCTCCTCCTCCTCCTCCTCCTCCTCCTCCTCCTCCTCCTCCTCCTCACTCCGCCTCCTCCTCCTCCTCTCCTCCTCCTCTCCTCCTCCTCCTCCTCCCTCCTCCTCCTCCTCCTCCTCCTCCTCCTCCACCTCCTCCTCCTCCTCCTCCTCCACCTCCTCCTCCTCCTCCTCCTCCTCCTCCTCCTCCTCCTCCCCCTCCTCCTCCTCCTCCTCCTCCTCCTTCCCCCCCCCCTCCTCCTCCCCTCCGAGGGAAAGAGAGAGGGCGAGAGAGACAGAGCGGAAGAGAGAGAGAGAGATATATATATATATATAGAGAAAGCGAGAGAGAGAGAGAGAGAGAGAAACACACATACACACAAAGGCATGGGCGGAATGACAGAGATGGAGAGAGCGTCTGGACGCCACTGCCTGACCCCCACCGGACTTTGAGCTGCAGGAGGGCAAACTCATGTGCCGCCCCCTGGCAATCCTCGATCGACTCCTCGAAGGTCTCGTTGGCATAACTGTCAGAATCCTGCGCAAGCAGTGCAACGCTGAAGCGGTGGCGATTTGCCAAACATGTCGTATGGCACAACAGGACTTAACGACAATGAGCCAGGGATAACCACACATCGGGCCCTTGAACGAGTAAATGCGGTTAGGCCGCTGGGAGGAAGGCACACTTCGATAACAGACGAGCTGACAACTGCACGTACAACATGCAAGACATGCGCACGCAGTTTGTAGCAAAGCTTGATGGCAAGCCAAAGAACTACCATCGAGGACCGCACGGGAAAACCGGGCCGCGAGCACAAAACATTGAATATCTGGTGGGATCAAGACACCGTGCGTCCGATTCCAGGAAGCTTGATGCAATCACACTAGCGCATAACTTTTACTTCCGCCGCCTTCCGCCTGCAGACCAACAAGCGGACCCGTCTCGGTTTTACGCCCGCAGGCCTCTGCCAGGAGAGGGCAGGCAACCTCTCGACCCCTCGAAGCGAAGCCCTCTCTGGTATGCCCGGTATGCTCTCTGGTCGCGTGCGTCGGCCTCCTCCGTCGTCCCCCAGCCGCCCCTCCCCGTCCTCGGCACGGCGCGCAGTGCAGTAGAGGGCCGCGGCGGGGGCACTGCACCAGAAAGGCCCGGAGCGGCCAACAGCTCGTGCCCTGAGCGCCGAAAGCTACCAGCGCGACCGAAGGGGTGGAGCTGCGGAGGCCACCAGCAAGGCTTCGGGTGTCGTGCGGAGCGAGCGAAGGCCACCAGCGGCAGGCGCACCAACCAGCGACAGCTCATGCGCGCCGGGACTGCCAGCCCACAGCCGGGCGCGACTTCCCCCCCGTAGCGCTGCCCAGCTGGCGCATGGCGGCCAGACCTGCGCCAGAGGTGCAGTGAGCTCCGGGAGCCTGTAGCGAGACGCCGCCCTGGCGAGGCCCACTGTCTCAGTACAGTGCGGCTGCAGGGGAGTAGGGCAGGAAGGGAGGAGCGACAGCGGGGGCGGGATGTCGTCGACAGTCCTCCTCCTCCTTCCTTTCTCCTCCTCCTCGTCGCTCTTCCTCCTTCCCTCCTTCTCCTCCTCCTCCTCCTCCTCCGCCTCCTAATCCCTCTTCCCACTTCCCTCTTCCTCATGCCTCCTCATCTATCTCACTCTTCCTCCTCCTCCTCCCTCCACATCTTGCCTTCCTGGACCTCCTCCTCCCTCCCTTTCCTTACCGACTCCTGCCTGTCGCGGCCCCAGGCTTAACTTGTCGACAAGATGGGCCAATCGTTTCTTCTTAGACTTCGGTACCGCTTGGTAGCCTGAAGCTAGATGAACTTTGCAGCAGTTGCAATGATGGAAGGGGGATCAACTGGACTTTCGCCTCATCGCCGCGCACACTCACTTAAAAGCTCGCAACAGCTTCAAGGATGCAATGTCGGAGTCCTTTTCAAAATGGGGCTCTCGCCTTAGCGCCGCGCACAGCCGCCTTGCAGGTTCGCAGGGAGTTCCTTGTTAAAAGACGGGGTTCTCGCCTCAGCGCCGCGCACATTCATCCTAAAAGATGGCGAGATTTGCAGGAATGGAGGACGGTTCCTTTTCAACATGGGGCTTTCGCTTGAGCCTGTTGCACCATGATCAACAACGCTGGCTAAATGTAGCAGTTGCATGGATGGAGGACTCTCGCTTGAGGCATCCTCGAAGTTCATGGCAATTGCCATAACATCGTACAACGGTTGTACAGATCGGCGACGGTCCTTTTTCAAAACTGTGATCTGGCTGGACACATCGTTGACCTGCGTGGTCATATCTTATGTCCGCTGGCAAAATTCAAGGGAGCTCATTTTTGAAAAGGGGCTCTCGACTCAATGACAGGCTCATGAGGTGGTGGTATTTGAAAGGAACGCATCTTGTAGTGAGAAGGACGTCTTGTGCGGAGTTGTGAGGAGTGAAGAAGAAACGTGGAACAGGAGAGAGTATTGCAGCATCGTTGTTGCATCTCGGGTTTACTCTGGTTCTCCTCCCGCTCCTCCCTTCCTCCTTCCTTCCTCGCCAAACTCTGCCCCCCCATACCTCCTTCCATCCCTCCCTTCATTCCTCCCTCCATCTCTACAAGTACATCATATGAATAATACTCGCCTCTCTCCCCTGGTGACGTCTGGGAAGATGGCTGCTACCTACCAGACCACCCCAACCCAGCCCGAAGACCCTAATTTCGGGGTGGTGGGGGTGTGGGCTCCATATGTGTTTTGTCGATGTTCCCCGACCACTCCCCACTGCAAATGGAGGGCAAATTGAAGCCTTAGGGTTGGGTTGGGGTGGTTTGGTGGGTGGTGGGAAGTAGTCGCCCCCTCCCCGCGTGCTGCTTTTACACACAAGATTCACGGGGACCAGGCTTGCGCTTGGGTTTGTCTTTCAAGCTGCTGCTCTCGCTGCAGCGCCGGCCTCACTCTCGGGCCACCGCTCGTTCCGCATCGGGCTACCGCTGCAGCGCGGGGATCACTATCTCCAGCGCCCTGCCACGGCATGGTTCTCGGTCCTCCCAGATAGGCCTCAAAATATGGAAAGTGTCTCCCCCCGAAAGGACCATCGGAAGTGATTCCACATTCGGTGCCGATTCGTTGCTCTTCTTGACCGCAGGAGGCCCTCTCCGCCACTATGGGGCGTCGCCGCGCCATGCTATGCCAGGCTACGCGTCCTCCGCATCGTGCTCCCGCTGCAGCGCTGGCCTCATTTCCGCGCTTTCGCTCGTTCCTGATCGTGTTCCCGCTTCAGCGCTGGCGTCATTATTTCAGCGCCATGCCAGGCATGATTTTCGGTCCTTCCAGATAGGCCCCAAAATCTATAAGATGTCCCCCCGAAACAACCATCGGAAGTGATTACACATTCGGTGTCTTCGTTGATTTGTTGGGCCGCAGAAGCCCCAACCCCACTTTGGGGCGTCGCCACGCCATGCTATGTCAGGCTACGCATTGATCTTCAACACCGTGCTATGCCATGTAATGCTGTGCCTTGCTACATCCGACTGTGCGAATAGAGCGGAGATCTACGCCATGGTAAAGGATAGGAGGGAGGGGTAGGACGTCAGATATGACGCGAGCGCACCTAGCTTGCCTTCCGTCCCCCTCCCCCTCCTCCTCATCCTCCTCGCGCCATGCCTCCATCCATCCATCCCTCCCTCCTCCTTCTTTCCCTCCATCTTCCCTCCCTCCCTCTCTCCTCACGCCGCTGCTTCCATCCTCCCTCCCACCATCCGCCTCTCGGTGCTCCGCAGTCCTGGCACGTGCCCTCGAAGTGCTGACACCGACGGCATGTGGTAGATATCTTCCCCTCTTCCTCGTCCGACCCGACCCTCTCCATCCAGGCCTCGGAAACAACTAGCGAACACTCGTGCCATATTCATCTGTCAACGCCTCCCCCTCCCCCCAAATGTTCACAGTTGGCGGCGGGCCTGATGAACTGCACCTCGACCGCAGTCTCCCCCGCGCGTGCCGACTTTGAGTTTTGGGGGGCAGGCGGTTGTTTACGAATTGTTTCCCTCTACCGTATCGGCGGATGCCTGGCTCGGGGAGGAGGGAGGGAGGGAGGGAGGGAGGGAGGGAGGGAGGGGGGAGGGAGGGATGAGGGAGGAGGAGGAGGAGGAGGAGGAGGAGGAGGAGGAGGAGGAGGAGGGGAGGAGGAGGAGGTGGGAAGTGAGAGAGAGGGGGAGGGGCAGGCGCCGAGGATGGCGGCCCTCTGCGAGGCCGCCGCCGCCCTCGGGGGAGGCCTCGTGAATGGACCTGCTCTCCACCACCGCCACCAGCAGTTGGAGGAGGGGAAGGAGGTGGAGGACGAGGTGGGGGAGGGGGAGGGGGAGGAGGAGGAGGAGGACGAGGAGGAGGAGGGGGTGGGGGAGGAGGAGGAGGAGGAGGAGGAGGAGGAGGAGGTGGAGGAGGGGGAGGGGGAGGGGGAGGAGGAGGAGAAGGGCTCCTCCTCAACACGAGTCCGCCCAGAATCGCCCCGGTCCCCCTCCCCGGCCACCTGCCTCGCCCTATAGACAGCTTCCCAGCAGCCCCACGGCCCCGACACAGCGCCACCGAGGCAGACACGATCCCTCCTGCGCTCATGGTATGTACTCGTCGTCCGTCGTCGGCGTCACCGTCGTCGTCGTCAGCGTCGTCGGCGTCGTCGGCGCCGTCGTCGTCGTCGTCGTCCGCGTCGTCGCCGTCGTCGTAGTCGTCGGCGTCCGCGTCGTCGCCGTCGTCGTAGTCGTCGGCGTCGTCGTCGGCGTCGTCGTCGTCGGCGTCGTCGTCGGCAGGAGCGGCGCCGGGCGGCCGCAACCTCGAGGCCTCGCTGCGCCGCGCGGCTCTATCAGTGACCAGCACGGGCCACCACCGACGTGCCACGCACAGCGCAGTCCCTCCTTCCCTCTCTCGGCAGAAGCGGCGGTCATCCAAGGACGCGGCGGTCCCTGGCGGTCCTCGGTTTCATGCTCTCCAGTATCCTAAGATAGGGGCTCTTGTCATAGGTGTGACGCCTACGCTTCCTCGCAATCTGCTTCCTTCCCGTTGCGGTTATCCTCGCCAGACGCTCAACACTCATACGTAGCACCCCGCAGTTGCGGATAAGAGTGAGGGGGCGGCGTGGACGTTTCCCTCTCTCGGCATAAATGGGCTATCATCAAATTTCGGCGGTGGACAAACCTCCCTTTAGTAAACCTCCCCTTAGTGAAAACGGCCTGGGACCGACACCTACGGACCTGGATCCGCAAAAATGACGGCCGCGACGCCCTCTCGCGAACCGAAAACGGCCAATTGCTTAATCGACGTGTCAGGGTAGGAGGTCGATCCACCTCCGATAACTGTTGTGCCATCAGCGGCTCAAGAAACCCACATACACCTCGCGGGGCGGGCGACCCCACCCCAGGGGAGCCCGACAAGGGTTGAGAAGAGAAAACACCTGCAGCAGAGGGGCGACGGCGCACAGACTACAACAGGCGTCGGCAGAACCCAGGAGGGAGGCTACCAAGGACGCCTCTCTTCTGGAATCGGGCGAGACCTGTGGACGCGCGGCGGCCCTCTACTAGAATCGGGCCTTCAGCACCGCTGGGCCCGGGCCTGGCCACGGCTCCTGCCCGCAAGCACGACCGAATGCAGCACGGTGCGCCCGCGTCCGTGCGCCCCTCTCTCCCTCTTGAGCTCATCGCAGTCCCAGGCGTCGGACGATGTGACTTTGCCACTGCACGGGCCCCCGATCTCTCGACAACGTTCCTGGGACCGAGGAGGAGGAAAGAAGGAGGAGGAGGAGGAGGTGGAGGAGGGGGAGGAGGGAGAGGAGAAGGAGGAGGAGGAGGAGGAGGAGGAGGAGGAGGAGGAGGAGGAGGAGGAGGAGGGGAGGAGGAGGAGGAGGAGGAAGGAGGAGGAGGAGGAGGAGGAGGAGGAGGAGGAGGAAGAGAGAGGAGGAGGAGGAGGACGGAGGAGGACGAGGAGGAGGAGGAGGAGGGAGGAGGAGGAGGTGGAGGAGGAGAGGAGGAAGAGGAGGAGGAGGAGGAGGAGGGGAAGATGAGGAGGATGAGGAGGAGGAGGAGGAGGAGGAGGAAGAGGAGGAGGAGGAGGAGAAGGAGGAAGAGGAGGACGAGGAGGAGGAGGAGGAGGAGGAGAAGGAGGGGGGGGAGGTGGAGAAGGGGGAGGAGGGGGAGGAGGGGGAGGGGGAGAAGGGGGAGGAGGGGGAGGAGGGGCAGGAGGACCCCTCCCCGAGGCCAGCCCTCCGTCCCAGAACAATGTCTGTTGGCCACAAGACACGACGGGGCCCCGGGAGAGGCCGGTCGTCGAGAGGAAACGCACGGGTTGACCAAAGCGAAACACCACACAGGGATGAACGTAAACGGTGTTTTCCGTTTTCGTTGTGTGTTCGTTTTCCCTCGCTTTTGTCTCGAATCCGCCTTTACCGCAAAACGAAGTCGAAACGAAAACGGCCCACGAAATCACCAAAAACACCCTTCAGGTCTAGCCCTGACACAGCATCGTCACACATCTTTGGCGTTCAAGCCATAGCTGGGGCCTCCTGTGGAGGTTCGAAACGACTCGGGCACCCCAGGAACACTCGCATCGAGGCGCAGGTGCTGGAGAGCATCCCGAGGCGAGGAGACTTCCAGGAGCCAGCGAGAACTTCCCAAAGCTCCAGAGCACACCCGAGGGGGGTACGAGGCTCTGGAGGATTGGAAAAAGAAATGCGCAAATTTTTCTGGGGCAAGCGACGTGTCTCGCTCCCGCCGGAGCGCGCCTCAGCCAAATGTCTGCGACGGCATGCTTGCACTGGTATGGGGGCAGCGGGAACACTGAAACCCTTTTTCCTTGCCTTCGGTGGGTTCATCGCAGCCACCCCGCTGCAAAATGCTCTGCGTCCAGTGAGCTCAGCGCCCCCATCCCGCTGCAAAATGTGCTACCCCCAGTGAACCGTCGAAAGACACCTTTGCCTTCGGTCCGCTGATTGCTGCCGTCTCGCTGCAAGCGGCTGCGACGGTCGCGGCGGGGGCCCTGGAGCCAGAGGCGACGACAGGGGCGAGAATACCCCAGGGGGGAGCAATACCTGTATCCAAGGGCGCCGATGATCTGTGTCTTCGAATAGGCTCCCGGGCAAATACGTGTAATGCCCGCCCCTGGGCGATTTAGGGAATCGAACTCTATACACAGACGCTTTTTCTGGCCCTGCCTTGAAATTTGCACTGGAGAGCGGGTCCTGGTGTATACGGGACCCTGGTGTATACACTTTTCGTGGTCTCCCCGGGACATCGAGGAACAAGTATACACCACACCACCCCAGCGTCGTCTCCGACCCTCCAAAAATCCTGAGATGGAAAAAAAGCCCGCCACTGGCAATGTAGATGTTCCAAATTCGGCCAATTATCTGTGTCTTCGAAAAGGCTCCCGGGCGAATACGTGTACTGCCCACCCCTGGGCTACTCGCCCCTATCGTCGCCGCGAATTTGAGCAGGGACCGACCGTCCCGGCATTCCTATCGTCCTACCACGAAATGTTCTTAGAACCCAAACATGGAACAAAAACAAGGTTCTTTGAACATCGAAATCCGACGCGTTAAAACAAGACAGTCCCAGCCAGAAATGTCCTGAGAACATCTCGTGGGAACCACAGAAAGCTCTTGGAACATCGTTTGGTAGGGCCATCGGCGAGCCAGGACGCTTCGCCACTGATTGACCGATGGCGGCGCCCCTCGGCAGCGGCGGCCGGCGGCGCCCCCAGCGGCCGCGGTCCTCGCCCTCTGGGGCCTCTCGGGCCGCTGGGCCGCCGCCGCCCTCGGCCGCGCCGGCGTCGCCGCCCTCGCCTCGCGCGGCAATGGACCGGCGGGGGGAAGAGCGAGGAGGAGGAGGAGGAGGAGGAGGAGGAGCGAGGAGGAGGAGGAGCGAGAAGGAGGAAGAGCGAGGAGGAGGAGGAGGAGGAGAAGGAGGAGGGCGGTCGCGAGGCGACTCCGATCTATAATTCGGCCCTGGTGCTGGCTCAGCTCTGCTGAGCACCTTGGGTCAACGATCTCGCCTTCTCTCTCTCTGTTCTGTTTTCTTTCTTTCTCTCTCTCTCTCTCTCTCTGCACGACGGACGTGCTCCCTGCCAGTAGCCGGCATTGGAAGGCAGGGGTCAGCCATCTTGCTCGATTCGGACTGGTCGATGGGCCCGCAGCTGCCACAAAGCCATCGACCAAGGGCTTCGAGGTATCTCATGTTATCGGATCTCTTGACCTCCCCTCCCGCGGGATCTAAGGCCCGACCCCTGGGTAAACTGGAAGCTTCACTTGTGGCATGCCCGAAAGAAACAAAAGGTTCGCGAGCCAATCCTTGAGATTGGCTTGGGTAGCAGAGCCCCTACAAGCAGTGCACCTTTTGTCCACAGCTGGCCACCTCATGGCGGAAGCAGAATATGGCTTTTGCTGCAGCACGAAAGGCGTGATGGCAAGAATATCAAACTTGTTCCTCTTCTCACAGTCAACATTAATCTGCGTTGAAATTCGAGCGAGTCTCATGCGAATGAGCCTGGCATCATCGACGTGAATGACACGCGCACGCTGATGCTAGGGGACGAGTGCTTCTCCGGCAGCGATGGCTGCCAGAGTGTCGGCGCACGCGGTGCCTGCAATCATCCACGAAGGAACCTGGCGGTCAACTATCTCATGGCCCTCCACGTGCGAGGGCATGTTGAGCACGACAATCTCTGCGTAGGCACGAGTGCGGAGGTGGTTTCGAATCGACCTCCATCTGTTGGCGTTCGCTTCATGAGGATGTCCGGAAATCCGAGACCACCACCCTCGATGCACCTCCTCATGATCGGTCACGTGCACTGTGGGGCCCGAGAACCACCGTATACTGACCTCCAAAAATTACAAGCATCCTTCTGCACCCGTCTGTCGGTCGTCAGGATGCAGAACATGCGCGCATGGGCAAGTAGAACGGAGTGCACCAACAAGAACAAGAGCTGCCGACCCAACTCGGCGAAATCGTGGATCGTGGGTGTCGGCTCCTTCGGATGCATCGCCATCAACGACCCGTGGTAGGTCCATGGGTCAAGAGCCGGAGAAGAGGCTGCCGGAGCGACCTCGCCCTGCGCCTTGCCACTCTTCACCCCGTGTCGGCCTGTCCGCCCCGAGCCCGATCCGCGGGGATGACCCCGTGAAGCCAAAACCATCGTGCTAGATTCACCTGGGTCACTGCTCGGTGACACATGTCCTCGGTACTTGAGCAGGGACCGACCGCCCTGGCATTCCTATAGGCCTACCACGACATGTTCTTCGAACCCCAAAAGTGTTCTAAGAACAGAAGCAACGTTCTTAGAGCAATGACCCGAAGTGTGAAACATGTTCTGCAAGACCAAGACAGCCCCTGCCAGAAATGTTCTGAGACCATCCCGTGCAGACCAAAAGAAGGTTCTTGGAACATTCTTTGATCGGCTTATAGGCGAGCCACGACGCTTCGCCACTGCTGGAGGTACTGCCATGGATCGGGGAGCCAGCGCTGCGCGCGCGCTGCCGCTGGCCGTGGATGAGTGCCTCCACAACTGACTGGGGACACCGCGCACGCCAGCCTGCACAGTCCTGGCCTCCGTTTCTGCGCCCTGACTCCGCCCACGCCCCCCCCCCCCGCGGTGATCGCCGTGAGGATCCCAGGAAGACGACGGCCTTGGAGGACCTGCTTCCAGGTCGCCGCCACAGGAAGCAGCCCTGGGAGGCGTCGTCCTATGAGCTGCCCTCGACGCGCGTGCGAACACACACTCGGCCACCCCCTCGGCCCCACCGATCGGCCCGAGCTGGCTGGCGTGGCACTTCAGCCCTGGAGCCTCACCGGCCTGATCTCGGCTTGGCCGGCAGGCAGAGATACCGTTCCGCTAGACCCACCGGGCCCCGCCCTGCCCGGCGCGAGTTGTGAACTTAGCTCGAGGGAAGACCACGCCTCCCTCCTCCTCCTCCTCCTCCTCCTCCTCCTCCTCCTCCTCCTCCTCCTCCTCCCTTCCATCTCCCCTCGAGGTCATCCCCCTCCCACTCTCCCCCTGCACACGGCCTTCTCCCTCCTTCCTTCCCTTTCTTATGCCTCTTCCTCCTCCTGCTCCTCCTCCTCGCTATTCCCCTATATCCATCATTCGACCGTCTTCCATGCATGTGTGAGCTGCTGTGAATATGGCCGCTCCTCTGCCGTCTAGTCTCGACCCCCCCTTCTCTGTCCCCCTTCTACAAGTACACGAAATGAATGCTACTCTCCTCTCTCCCCTGATGACGTCCAGAAGATATCCGGTCCCCCTGCCCGTACCGTTTTTTTTTTTTTGAAAAAAAAAGGATTCCCGGGAGCTTGGTCTTCGCTTGGTCTGTTTTCGAAATGTTGCTCCCGCTGAAGCGCTGGTCCCACTTCTGCGCCTCTGGTTGTTCCAAATCGTGGTCCCGCTGAAGCGCGGGCGTTTTCCGTCCTCCCAGAAAGGCCCCAGAATCTAAAAAATGCCTCCCCGAGACAACCATCGGAAGTGATTCCACATTCGGTGTCGATTCGCTGTTTTTGTGGACCGCAGAAGCCCCCCGCACTTTGGGGCGTCGTCGCTTTCAAGAAGTATCAAGCGGGAGCCCCGTTTCTGCTTTGAGAAGGCGATGTTGAAAGCAGAGCCAGCGGGTGCTATCCATCAGCCCCGCCTTGTGTGGAGCTTTTCGGGGAGCCCAGGGAGCTAGACATGGAGCCACGACTCCAGACCGGCCCAGACCTCTCGAAGACGATCCACTTACCCTCCAAGGAAAACGGCGCCATGCCATGACATGCTGTGCGGTGTTGTGTTATGCGCCGCTGTGCGATGCCGTACTTTGCGTTACAATGCTGTGTGATGCATGCTTCACTGCGCAATGCCACGCCATGCTATGGCATGCTACGCTCTGCCGTGCTCTTCTACGGCATGCCATGCCGTGCTCTACCATGCATCGCGTACCCTCTCGCGATTATTGCCCTGCTCGACAGCCGACCGTGCGAAGAGAGAGGATATCTATGCCATGGTAAGGGATGGGAGGGAGGGGTAGAACGTCAGATATGACGCGAGCGCACCTAGCTTGCCCCACCCCCCTCCTCCCCCCCCCCACCTCCCACTCTCCCCGCCCTCCAGCTCCCCGCCCCCCTCCTCCCTCCCCCTGCCCCCCCCCTCTCCTCCCCCCTTCCATGTCCCCCCCCGCGGCCCGCCCCCTTCCCTCCCGACCTCCCCCCTCCCCCCTCGCCCGCTCCCCCCTCGCCCCGCTCCCCCCGCGGCCCCCCGGGTGACGTCTGGGCGGCGGCCGCGGCGGCGGCTCCCCGCGCAACCCCCCACGCCTCGGGCGCCCGGGCCTGTGTCCGCGGGAGCGCCGGCCGCTCCGGCAGCCTGTGGGCGGCATGGGGTGAAGGGAGGGGGGGAGGAGGGGGGGAGGAGGTGGGAAAAGGGAGGGGGGGAGAAGAGGGACGGAGGAGGAGGTGGAGGCGAGGGACGGAGGAGGAGGAGGAGGAGGAGGAGGAGGAGAAAGGAGGGAGGAGGAGAAAGGAGGGAGGAGGAGGAGGAGGAGGAGGAGGAGGAGGAGGAGGAGGAGGAGGAGGAGGAGGAGGAGGAGGGAGGAGACCAGGGAGGAAGGAGGTAGGAGCAGGAGGGAGGAGACCAGGGAGGAGGAAGAAGATAGGGGTGGAGAGAAGAAGGGGGAGAAGGAGGGTGCGGGGGGGGGGAGGAGGGAGGGGGGAGGGAGGGAGGCGGAAGAGCGGAGGGTGGAGGCGGGGGGGCGAATTGTCGAGGCGGTGGCACTGACTGGAAACCGTTTCCTTCGGCTACGCTGAGCTGGTATCTTTGCTCGGTTTCTGCTGTTCCTGCAATCGTGGGTATCTGGAAATACCAAGCCCAAATCCCAAAGCGTCGTTCTCAGTGAACGCCGTCGATGTGAGCTCCTGCCCCAAGCCCAAGCCAATGCTCTCGCTGGCTGCAGCCAGGCGCCGTGAGGCAAGAGCAGTTTGAACACATAGGGATCTGTACATATACATACATATACATACATACACATATATATAAATAAATAAGCAGTCACGCGCGTGCCTCTCGCACGCCCAGGCGTGGATGCAAAGAAGCAGGCAAATGTGGCGGCAACGATGGCAACGCGACGAAGCAGCGGAGCAACAGCCGCCCAGGCAGACTGCACCGCCTTTCAAACGTGTAGAGCCGGCGTCAACGCTCGGCACCCTTCGCTCGGCGCCCGCGCGGCGACTGGCTCGGCCAGCCCTTCTCGCGGCGATGGGCGCGGGAGGCGGGGGCTTTCGCAGAGGACGGAACGGCGTGCAGCCACCGTGCGATCACGAGGAGCGCTGAGTGAGGAGCAGAGGGGCCTGCCGTGGCCAAGGCTGGCCTCGGCTTCGAATAGGCTGCCCGACCTAGCTCCGCCGAGCGGCCCGGACACGAGGGCCCTTCCTGAGCCCAAGGCGGCCCTCGCCTCAGCGTCTTGACTGTACGCGTAAACCTTCGGAGGTCCGCGCAGCTCTCTCGGGTCGGCGCTGCACGCCCCCCCCCCCACTTGGTCGGGAGGGGGTCCGGCGCCGATCCCAGAAACCCGCGGAGACATTCGAACGTTCATGTTTGTGCTAGGTCGGGCATGTCCTTCTACAGGCGGATGTTGGAGGTATCTACACACATATTATAATATATATATATACGTTTATATGTATATGACGCTCGTAAATGATTGAAATGAATCGTAAACTCGTCTCCATATCATCTGTGTTTGACCACTCTCGAATATTCCTCCTGTCGAGGGACATGCCCAGCGTAATGCCTGTGCTGTCCTCTCTCGCTCTTCCGCTTCCGCCGAGCGTCCGCGAGTCAGCTCCCCGCAAGGTGGCCGCCCCGCTGCGTGCGCCTCCGCCCCGGAGGGGGCCCCCGCCTCCAGGCGCGAGGCAGGGCGGGAGGGGCAGGGGGAGGAGACGGGTGGGAGCGTGGCAGGAGCACGGAGGAGGGGTGGGCCCCGATCCTCTTGCTCCCCCGCCTCCCCCTCCCCCTCCTCCCCCTCCCCCTCCTCCTCCTCCTCCTCCTCCTCCTCCTCCTCCTCCTCCTCCTCCTCCTCCTCCTCCTCCTGGCTTCCACCACTACCCTCCTCCTCCTCCTCCTCCTCCTCCGCCTCTCGATCCTCTCCCTCGTCCTCCTCGAGCTCCTCTTCGCCCGCTTCCGTCTCCTCCGCCCCCGGCCTGGCTGCCGGGGGGCGACTTGGGCCGCAGCTCCAGGCCGCGCTCCTGGCGCGCTCGCGCGAGCGGCTCGTGCCGAGGAGGAGCGCGAGGGGGACGAGGAGGGAGGGGAAAACTGAGGGTCAGGATGAGAAGGGAAGATGAACATGAGGGTCAGGAGGGGGGGACAATGGAGGATCAGGGTGAGAGAGGGAAGACGGCCAAGCTCACCACGGGCGTGCCTGGCGCCCAAGCCCGTCTTCGGGGACAAAAGGGTCGTCGGCGAAGCACTGGAGACTGTGGGGCAGCCTGCGAAAGGTCCGCGGGCCACACATCCGCAAAACAATTGGGATGGTCGAAACCTCATGCCACTGGCAAGAGGAGCTGGGCAGGAGAGCCCAGAATCGAATCGATGGGTCGGATCGGCGATCGAAACGAATTGGATCGGCGGACATCGGCAGCCGAGTCGGGAGAAGTCGAATCGGTAGACATCGGCAGGCTGCGAGGCCTCCATTGAGAAGTCGGATCCCATATCGGGATCCGAAGCCGAACCGAATCGGAATCGGAACCCATCGACGTCGAATCGAACCTAATCGGAGGGATCGACATGCGCCCTGGCAACGGGGAAGGCAGAGAGCACGGACCACGAGGGCAATCGCCATCGAACCCGGAGCTCGCATCGGATCGGGATGTGCATCGGACCGGGCCGCGCCGGCGCGGAGTCGGCATCGAATCAGCTCGGCGGCGCCACGGTGCACGAGATCGCCGTGCCCGGCATCGGCCCGCATCGGGTCGCAGCGGGTGGGATCGAGCCGGGCAGACTCGACATCGAATCGGATAGACCGGATCGAAATGGGCCCTGCCATGCGCGGGGACGGCGACGGGATGAGCCGGAGGGCCTTGGGAGGCCCCGAATGGAGGCTCTAGGGGGCACTATTGAAAAGAGGGGGGGGCGGGAGAAACAGCAGCAGGCAGAGGATCAGCAGCAGCAGCAGGAGGAGGAGGAGGAGGAGGAGGAGGACGAGGATCACGCGCAGGAGCTGGAGGAGGGCCGATGGCGGAGGGCCCCGGCAGAGAAAGCACCCACAGATGCCTGACACATCGAAGCCAGACGCCGGGCTTGGAGGAGCCGACACGGGGCTGGCGGGGTGGGCGGCAGGGCGCCAGGCCATATCGGCGGGGGTCATCCCCGGGTGGGTGGCCATGGTGCACCTCCTCGAGGAGAGCCCCCCAGGGCACCCCAGGCTTCACCAGTCCATCTACAGCGCTCGCGATCGTCCAACAACCTCCTCGACCCTCGGTCCTCAAGAGGCTTGGCACCTACGAAGCGGCCCTTGCTGTAACTAACCATCTCGTGCAAATGAATACATACATACATGTATACGCGTATGCTCTTGTGCGTTCTCTCTCTCTCTCTCTCCCTCTCTATCTCCCTCGCTATCTCTATGTCTATATATATATATATACGAGAGAGCGTGATCCACCGCCGCTTTACTGTGGAAAATTGCCAACCTTTTCCTCCGGAGCCCGGGGGTCTCCCCCCTCACCGAAAACCCCCCCCCCCCCCCCTGCTGGACCCCCCCACCCCACCCCCCCCCATTCCCCCCCCCACCGCCCCCCCCCCCCCCCCCCCCCCCCCCTCCCCCCCCCCCCCCCCGCCCCCCCCACTCCTCCCCCCCCCCCCCCCCCCCCCCCCCCCCCCCCCCCGGCCAAAACCCCCCCGCCCCTAACCCCTCCCCCCCCCTCCCTTCCCTCGAAAACGGGGGGGGGTCACGACCGGTTCGAAACCCCCCCCTTCCGGATCCGGAAAAACCGGGGGGTCACTACCGGCTGGACCCCCCCCCCCCCCCCTCGAAAACCGGAGGGGGGTCACTACCGGTTCGACCCCCCCCCCACCCCCACGCACCGCCAGCAAACGACTCCCGGTCCCTACCACCGCTCGCATCACATCCCCCACTGTTGTTCCCAGCACCACTGTCCTCACCACCACTGTCCCCACTGGTTCCACCACCGTCCCTATTGTCCCCGCCAGTGCCCCCACCACTGTCGCACTGTCCCCACTGTTCCCACTGTTCCCACCACGGTTCCACTCTCCCCACTGTCTCCACGGACCCAACCACTGCCTATCCCCACTGTCCCCACTGTCCCACTGACTCCTCCGCTGTCCCACTGAGCTGTCCCACTGTTCCCACCACTGTCCCCACTGTCCCCACCACTGTCCCCACTGTACCTCTGTCCCATTGTCCCACCGCCGTTCTCGCCACCGCCTTCACCACTGTCCCCACCACCATTGTACCCTCCACTGTCCCACTGTTTCCACCTCATTCCCATTGTCCCCACACCACTGTCCCCACCACCACCGTCACCACCACTGTCCACTGTTCCCCCCTGTTCCCACCATTGTCCCCACCACTGTCCCCACCACTACCGTCCCCACCAATGTCCCACTGTCCCACTGTCCCCACCACTGTCCCGCTATCCCCTCACCACTGTCCCCACCAACACCGTCCCCACCACTGTCCGCACCCCCACTCGGTTTTCGAGGGGGGGGGGGTTCGAACCGGTATGACCCCCCCCGGTTTTCCGGATCCGGAGGGGGGGGGGGGGGTGGGGTTCGAACCGGTAAGTGACCCCCCCCGGTTTTTCCGGGAGGGGGGGGGGGGGGGGGAGGGGTTCGAACCGGTAGTGACCCCCCCCGGTTTTCCGCCAGCAGCGGTAGAACACGCTCTTTCATATATACATACCTATACGACCACCCTTCGGGTGATAAGGAGGGTCGGGGGGGGGAGGAACCAACGTCTCACTCGATCGGTCTCACTATCGATCTCACTATCGATCTCAGTATCGGTCTCGCTCGATCGATCTCCCTCGATCGATCTCACAATCGATCTCACAATCGATCTCACTCGATCTCACTCGATCTCACTCGATCTATCTCACACTCGATCTCACTCGATCATCATCATCATCATCATCATCATCATCATCATCATCATCATCATCATCATCATCATCATCCTCATCATCATCAGCATCATCATCATCACCACCACCATCGCATCATCATCATCATCATCATCATCATCATCATCATCATCAGCATCAACATCAGCATCAGCATCATCAGCAGCATCATCATCAGCATCACCATCATCATCATCATCGTCATCATCATCATCATCATCATCATCATCATCAGCATCAGCATCAGCATCAGCATCAGCATCATCATCATCATCATCATCATCATCATCATCATCATCATCATCATCATCATCATCGCGGGACACCGCGGGACACCGGCGGGACACCGCGGGGCACCGCGGGACACCGCGGGACACCGCGGGACACCGGCGGGACACCGCGGGCCACCGGCCGCCCGGAAGGGAGACATTTGGTCCGGCCGCGCCTCAGCCACACGGGACACCAGCGGGACACCGGCGGGACACCGCGGGCTTCCGGCCGCCCGGAAGGGAGACATTTGGTCCGGCCGCGCCTCAGCCATAGGAGACTTTCTTCTCGCCCGCCCACGCAGCTTCGCCTCGCCCGCACGCACGGCACGCACGAACACGAAACCGAAATCGATTTCCCGGTAGGGGGGCCCTCCGTTCCACTTCGATCTCACCCCCTCACCTCCGATCTATGTATGCATGTGAGTATGATGAAGAACATCTGCATATATATATATATATATATATATATACACATACACATCGTGCGTATCTGACGTATCCAAATAAAGCAATCCCCCTCGTCCTACTCGAACAGCCCGCCGGACGTCTCCCGCAACGCGCTGCGACCAGGACTGAGACAGATCCAGCTGCGCCGACGGTGACCGCCCAGGCAACAAACGACTCAAGAAGACGAGGAGGAGAAGGACGCTCACTCTCGTTCTCACTCTCACTTTCTTTCGCGTTCTCCATATAGTTTTACGTATGTAAAGCTGTACTAATGCAATGAATACCGATCTACACAGGAAACTGATCCGACTTGGTTCCTGGTGCGGCAGTCGGGGCTGGGTCCGGAGCGCCCCTGGAGGGCACAAGACGGCCCCAGACTGGCCCGCAAAGGCCGCAAAGGCCCCAAAACGGGCCAAGAGGGCCCCAATAAGCTTTTTTGACGTTCCAGGAGGCCCCGGGTCGCCAAGTGATCGGTCCAAGACGCTCCGGATGGCCCCCAGAAGGCCCAAGAGGCCCGCCACGACGCCCCCGCCTCCAAGAGCCCTCCCAAGAGAGCTCCAAGAGGCAGCATTCGTCACATTCCTCAGGGGAATCGCACATGTTTTGCATATGTTTGGTTCGGGTTTTACGGCTTCCAAGACGGCCTCCCACATCACCCCAAGACGGCCCCAGACGCTCCGAAGAGGGCCCCCGAACGCCCCAAGAGCCAAGAGGGCCCCAAGACGGCCCAAGTGGGGCCCTCAGAGGGCCCCCAGAGGGATCAAAAAGAGGGAACTCGACTTGAGATTTCGAGACCTCCGCCCCAAGGGGGCCCCCGAACCAGCCAGCAGGCCCCCAAGAGGCCCCCAAAATCCCAAAGAGGCCCAAAAGAGGTCCCAGAAGGCCCGCAAACGGTACCTAAGAGGACCCACGGACCGCTCCCGGAACGCGTTCCGACCATAATTTTGAACCGGATCTAATTGCTGCGACAGTGGCCGCCCAGGCAACAAAGAACTCAAGAGGTGGAAGAGGAGAAGGAGTGGGAGGAGGGCACTCCTGTCACTCTCACTCCCACTCTCTCTATCTCATTGTCTCTCTTCCCTTTCGTTCCCTCCTCCTCCATCGCTGGCGCTCTGCAGACACATGTGCCAGAAATCTCCGAAGCAGACGGGTAGTAGATCGCCGCTGGTCGCTCAGCTGCCTTGCGGGCCGCGCCGAACCCTCCTCGTGCAGGGCGAATGGAAGAGGAAGGGAGCAAGGACCAACGACGAGGGCCGCGACACAACGGGGGGGATGAGGAGGCGGGAAGAAAGAGAGGCAAGACGAAGACGAACGCAAGGACGAGACGAAGACGAGACGGAAGGACGGCCAGCGAAGCGTGGACGAGGCAACGCAAATCACGGGGCTCGCTTTAACTGCGTCCATCGCTGCGCCTCCGGGAGGGAATAAGGAATACGCATAGATGAAGGAGCATGGAATAATGATACTGGGTAGAAGTATGCATCCAAACAAATCGAGGTCGTAGTCGCGTTCGGAGAAGATGACTCAATATAAGTAGTGTACTGAACGTGGGCGTAGAAGTAGTAGCCGTACGATCAGGTCTAGTAGCACTTGTAGTAGGAACAACGCTGTGGCAGTACTAGTAGTGGTCCGAGTGCTAATCATGGTGACGGTAGTGCCAGTCGTAGTAGTAGCAATCCGCAGGCCCCCTCCATGGGCGCAAGGCTGCAAGGCTGTTTGCGGTCTGTTGGCGTGTGTTATGTGTAACCATTTGTTGCTTGGCATTTCGTCTCTCCAGTCCTGTTTCCTACCTCCTGTCGGCTGTCTGCTAGCGGGCCCCGCCGCGCCACCTAACAGCCAACGGAGGGGGTGAACCTCAAATCCTGGCTGCTCTGGGCCACCCTCGGATTCTCATGGTGACGCCACTGCGCGGCCAGAACGGCCCGAGAGGCCTCCAAGATTGCCCGCAGAGGCTCCGAAAAAAGCCTCAGGAGGCCAAGACGGCCCAAGATGGCCCCAAAATGTCCCACGATTGCCCCAAGACGGCCCAAGATGCTCTCAAGGCGGCCCAAGAGGCCTCCAAGAGGCCTCCCAAGAGGGCCCCACGAAGAAACAATCAACGAATATCTGAACGTTCTTGAAAGTTTTTGGCATTCTCGCCTTTTCGGCTGTCCGACGCTCCGAGACGGACCAAAAGGTTCCCAAGATCGCCCCACGACGGCCCTAGAAGCCACCTATGCCGGCCCAAGAAGCCCCCAAGACGGCCCCAAGAGGGCCTCAAGACGGTCCAAGAGGCGCCCCAGACGGCCCCAAAGGGCCCCGAGACGGTCCCAAGAGAGGTCCAAAAGGCAGTCCACGAACCGAAAACTTTACCTTTCCGCCCCGAGAGGGCCCCATCAGGCCCCAAGAAGGTCCCAAGAGGCCCCAAGAGGCCTCCAAGAGGCCACAGGGATATTTCTACGCTATTGATCGGTCGCAACACGCTTGCAAATGCATCGAGGTTTACAAGACGTTCCTGACGGGTTCGTGGGCTGGTACGCAGAGGCCGCCGACTCCGCCAGCCGCTCGGACGCGAGTGCGGAAGACGGCCCCGAAGAGCAACGCGGCCCGCAGCGCGCAACACTAGCGCACTTCAAAAAAAGGTTCCGCAAAACCGCGCGGGGTCACCCACGGCCGCGTAGCCTAGTAGTAGTGCTAGAGGTAGTAGTACTAGAAATATCAGGAGTGCTAGAAGTAGAAGCCGTACGCGTAGTAGTAGAAGTCGTAGTAGCACTAGTAGTCGTCGGGGTTGAAGTAATAGTAGTGGTCGCCGTAGTAGTAGTAGTAGTAGTAGTAGTAGTAGTAGTAGTAGTAGTAGTAGTAGTAGTAGTAGTAGTAGTAGTAGTAGTAGTAGTAGTAGTAGTAGTAGTAGTAGTAGTAGTAGTAGTAGTAGTAGTAGTAGTTTGGTGGTGGTGGTGGTGGTGGTGGCGGTGGCGGTGGTGGTGGTGGTCGTAGGAATAGCAATGGGAGTGATAGTAGTAGTGGTAGATGTAACGGTAGAAGTAGAAGTCGAGGTCGTAGTAGTAGTAGTAGTAGTAGTAGTAGTAGTAGTAGTAGTAGTAGTCGTAGTAGTCGTAGTAGTAGTAGTAGTAGTAGTTGTAGTAGTAGTAGTAGTAATAGTAGTCGTAGTAGTCGTAGAAGTGGTAGCGGTGGTGGTAATTGTGGAAATAATGGTAGTAGTAAAAGTACTGGTAGTAGTACGTAGTAGTAGTAGTAGTAGTAGTAGTAGTAGTAGTAGTAGTAGTAGTAGTAGTAGTAGTAGTAGTAGTAGTAGTAGTTGTAGTGGTAGTAGTAATAGTAGTAGTAGTAGTAGTAGTAGTAGTAGAAGTAATAGTAGTAGTAGTAGTAGTAATATTATTGGTAGTAGTAGCAGTAGTCGTAGTAGTAGTAGTAGTAGTAGTGGTAGTAGTAGCAGTAGTAGTAGTTGTAGTAGTAGTAGTAGTAGTGGTAGCAGTAGTAGCCGTAGTAGTAGCAGTAGTGACAGTACTAGTTTCAGTGGTAAGCGTGGAACCTACCAGTAGTAGTAGTAGTAGCAGTCATAGTAGTAGTATTAGTATTAGTAGCAGTAGTAGTAGTAGAAGTAGTAGTAGTAGTCGTAGTAGTAGTAGTAGTAGTACTAGTAGTAGTAATAGTAGTAGTAGCAGTGATAATAATAGCACTACTTCTAGCAGTAGTAGTAGTAGTAGTAGTAGTAACATGCGTACTCGCAGTTGTAATACTGGTAGTAGTCGTAGCCGTAGCCGAAGTAGTGGCAGTAGTAGTAGTAGTAGTACCAGTCGTAGTAGTAGCAATGGTAGTAGTAGTAGTAGTAGTAGTAGTAGTAGTAGTAGTAGTAGTAGTAGTAGTCGTGATAGTAGTAGTAGCAGAAGTAGTAGTAGTGGTCGTGGTAGTAGTGGTAGTAGTAGTAGTAGTAGTAGAAGTAAAACCAGTTGTGGTAGTAGTAGTAGTAGTAGTAGTAGTAGTAGTAGTAGTAGTAGTAGCAGTAGCCGTCGTAGTAGTAGTAGTAGTAGTAGTAGTAGTAGTGATGGTAGTAGTAGTGGTAGTAGCAGTAGTAGCAGCAGTAGTACAAGTAGTAGTAGTAGTACTAGTACTAGAAATATTGGTTGTCGAAGTAGTAGTAGTAGTAGTAGTAGTAGTAGTAGTAGCAGTAGTAGTAGTAGTAGTAGTAGTAGTAGTAGTGGTTGTAGTAGTAGAGATATTCGTAGTAGCGGTAGTAGTAGTAGTAGTAGTAGAAATAGTAGTAGTAGTCGTAATGGTAGTCGTAGTAGTAACAGTAGTAATAGTAGTCGTAGTAGCCGTAGTAGTAGTAGTAGTAGTAGCAGCGGTAGTAGTGACAGTAATAGTAGTTGTGCGAGGGGGAATAATACAACGAATAATAATGGTAGTGTTAGAAATAGAAAACGTAATCGTAGTAGTATTAGTCGTAGTAGTAGTAGTAGTAGTAGTAGTAGTAGTAGTAGTAGTAGTAGTGGTAGTAGTGGTAGTAGTAGTAGTACTACTAGTAGTAGTAGTAGTAGTAGTAGTTGTTGTTGTTGTTGTAGTAGTCGTAATAGTCGTAGTAGCACTAGTAGTCGTAGTAGTAGTCGTCGTTGCAGTAGTTGTAATAGTAGTAGTAGTAGTAGAAATAGCCGTGAGAGCACTACTGATAGCAACAGTCGCAGCAGCACCAGTAGTTGAAGTTGTAGCAGCAGTAGTAGTAGTAGTAGTGGTAGTAGTAGTAGTAGTAGTAGGGACAGGGGCGGTAGTAGTAGTCGTAGTCGTAATAGAAATAATACTTCTAGTAGTAGTAGTAGTAGTAGTAGTAGTAGTAGTCGTAGTAGTAGTAGTAGTAGTAGTAGTAGTAGTAGTAGTAGTAGTGGTAGTAGTAGTAGTAGCAGTAGTAGTAGAAGTAGTAGAAGTAGTAGTAGTAGTAGTAGTAGTAATCGTAGTAGTAGTAGTAGTAGTCGTCGTAGTAGTAGTACTTTGGATAGTAGTACGAGTAGTAGTAGTAGTAGTAGTAGTAGTAGTAATAATACTACAACTACTAGTCGGTGTAGCACTAGTCGTCGTAGTAGTCGTAGCAGTAAAAATAATACAAATAGTCTTACTTGTACGTCACAGTAGTGGCAGAAATTGAAGTAGTAGTCGTGGTAGTAGCAGGGGTAGTAGCAGTTGTAGTAGTAGTAGTAGTAGTAGTCGTCGTCGTCGTCGTCGTCGTCGTTGCCGTAGTAGTAGGAGGATTTGCGGTTGTAGTAGTCGTACGTAACGGTAGCCATCGTGTTAGAGTAGCGGTGGGGCCTCGGCCACGAATCGTCTACGAACGCCATGTCTCTCGACACCTATGGCCGACAATTCTGCCTGGGCCGTCAAAACATGTAGCCATACAGAACTCACATACTGATGACCAGGGATGGCAGGAAAGGAAGAATTGAGGGAACAGCAAGGAAGGAAGAGAGAGACAAGAGGAGAGAGGAGAGGGGATGACCAGGAAGGGCGATTAACGAAGAAGGAGAGAGGGCGTATGTGGGAGGATTGGATAAGGAGAACGGGTAGGCGGAAAAGAAATGACGAAGTAAAAGTGGCGGGAAGAACCATGAAAAACAACGGAAGCGGAGACGGACGACAGAGAAGCCGGCTGCGAGGAGAATGAAGCGTGAGCTGCGAAGGGGCGACAAACACGAGCACGAGGAGGGGCGTGATCACGAACGGGAGCAGTGAGAGGAACAATCCAGAGACGAGGAGGAAGCGGGAGCGACCGATGGACCGAGCGAGCGGACGACTCTCCAAAGCTGCAGCCGCGCTGCCTCCCTGGTGCCCGATGCTTTCGGCGGCTCCGCTTGCGATGTAGCCTCGGCAGCGCCACGGAGGAGAGGGGAAAGACTTGAGAGAGTCTGTGCGTGTGACAGAAAGCGGGAGGGACAACGAGAGAGAGAGAGAGAGAGAGACGGAGAAAACTAACCGAGCGAGAGAGAGCAAGCGAGTATGAGAGGCGGCGGGGGAGAGGGCGAAAAGGATGCACACAAATGTGTTTATGAGTATGCATACACACATGCATACGTGCATATGTACATATATACATGTACCCATGTTCATACACATAGATGCGCTCACACACACAGCAGCCCTCCAATCTCGAATGGTTGCGCTCTACTAGTCGCGGTCCAGCTCCTCCCTCCTCCTCTTCCTCCTCCTCCTCACCCTCCTTTTTTTCTTGGTCGCTCTTTCATGGCCCCCATATACGTTATCATCCTCCGCGCTGCTATACACCAAGGCCTTCCGTTTCGCATAGCGAATGTGGGCACCAGAAGCTCCCAACCAAATTCTCGCATGTGACAGCGCAAGGCCTCCTGCCTCATATACTATGCCGCGTGGTGCTTTTCGATGGGCAAGTACATTCAAGAACGCCAGCACACAAGACCACGTGTGAAAACACAGGTGTCCGGGCATCCTACACCACTAAGCGATACGGATTCATTGAGATCACTGGTTGTTGGATTCTCGGTGCCACGGAACCTCGTGATGTTCAAATGAAAATAAAGGTGCCGTCTTTCGGCGCCTGCCAAAATTGCGCGGCCGCCGTCGGCCCAGTTCGGCCAACCGAATTCCAGTGGGACCCAACATACGAAACACATACCCACTGTCTCAATGAAGGCACATGGTTCGCGAGACCTTTGACACAACACAACACAATAACATTGGACTGGCGGTGTAGGATTGGCAAAAAATCACTGTGTCCATTGTTCAAATCGGCGCTTCGATTTGCGATGCCAGAAGGACACTCGGCGTGCCAAACTGGGCCGACGGATGCCGCGTAATTGCGCGAGGCCACCATTTTAAAACAAGCAAGACAAACTTTTGACTTAATGCAAAAAGGTTGTGCCCCCCAGTCATTTGCCCAATCCTCCAAGCCCCAACCCTCGCTCCTGAGGAATCTTTAAAAGGCTTCAGAGCCCAAACTCGAAAATTTGGCGGGGCTTCTCGCGTGCCCCCTGCGTCCCCCGCATCTTCTCGCGTAACTTCTCCGGGCCCCAGAAGGCCCCAAGATGGGCCAAGGGGGTCCCAATAGGCGCCGGAGACGGTCCAAGAGGGCACCGAATCGCCGAACTGTCGCTCCAAGATGCTCAAGATGGCCCCCAGACGGCCCAAGAGGCCTCCAAGACGCCCCAGGAGGCCTCCAAGAGGCCTCCCAAGAGGGCTCCAAGAGGCACATATCCTCCCAAAAGGTTATTGGGAGTTTTTGGCTGTCTCACCTTTTCGGGTTCCCGACCATCCAAGACGGCCCAAGAGGCCCCCGAAATCGCGTCAAGACAGCCCCAGAAACCCTAACGGCCCAACAAGGCCCCAAGACTGCCCAAGAGGCGCCCAAAACAGCCCAAGAGGGCCCCAAGACGGCCCCACAAGGGGCCTAAGAGAGGGAAAGCGAACCGAACATCCGAGCCTTCTGCCCCAAGAGGCCCCCAGGAGGCCCCCCAGAGGCGCCCAGGAGGCGCTAAGAGGCCCCCCAAAGGCCCCCAAGAGGCCCGAAGATGCCCCAAACGGCACCCAAAAGGTGTCAACACCGCCTCCAAGAGGCCCCCGAGAAGCCCCCCACGAGATCCCAACGAACATCCAACAGGCTCCGTATCCACAACCCAGGCACGGTGGCGGCATGGGTCGGATGCTATTATGTGTATGTAGGTATGTACATATATACACCTGTTTACATATACCTATACAAATTCAGATGCGTAAGCATATATGTACATACTAAGTATATGTGTATATACATACATTTACATAGACACGTACATATACACAAGAACCATCGCGCGCGCTTTTCGCGCGCGCGCAATTTCTAGCGCAGGCCAAGTGGATTCCTGATAGAGCTTGGACAGCAACTTCACGCACAAGCGCATTCCATAGTCGCACCCACCCTTACCCTCATCACCATTCCATCCTCACCCCCAGCCTCCTCCTCTTCCTCCTCTTTCGCTTCTTGCTCCTCCTGGTCATCATCATCATCGCCATCTAACTTATAATCAGGACCATCATCATCAGCGTCATGATCACTACCATCGCCATCATCATCCTCATCGTCACCATCTTCATCATCGTCATCATCATCGCCACGAGCATCACCATCAGCATTGGCATCAACATCATCAGCATCAGCATCCACATAATCCTCATTGTCATCATGGAGGAAGGCATTATTCACCCACTGTTGCTAGCCATGCTGTAACGCCAAAGGCGCGCATCATAATCAATCATCATGATCAGCATTACGATCGTGATCATGATCATGGTCCTCATCATCTCTGTAATTGCCTTCTCTCGACCGTCCTCGTGCTCGTGCTGCCTGGCTGGAGTCGCTCTCCAATAACCGGTGGCCTTCACACCCGCGCAACGAGGTGCAAACAAAACAGAATGCGCCGGACCATCGGGCAACCGTTGCGGCTGCACCGTGCGATTGCGGCTCCCCGTCACAGCCCAACAATGTGCTTGTTCTTCATGTCGAATTTTCCTACAATGCGCAAGCGGCCATGTCCGTAATTTAACTTCAGTACACGTGCGGCTGCAACGGCGGAGGTGGGGTTCCCCATGCTGTCTTTGTCTATTGTCGTCTCTTCTTTCGACGAGTCTCAAGCGGCTTGCCTATTTGCGTGCCCGGCATGCTCTGTTGCCGTCGCATTTTGCGAGGATGTCTCAAGCGATGCGCCAATTTCAGCACGCTCCAGGGGACACGCCAGGGGGATATCTCACTGACCCGTTCGCGCCCACACTGTGGGGACGTCTCAGGCGGTTTGCATGTTTGGGTGCCCGACGCGCTCTCCTTTTCGAATCATGTTGCGAAAATGTCTCAAGCGATGCGCCGGTTTCATCACCCCAAAGGGGAGCGCTGGGGGGGGGTCTCACGGGCCCGTTCGCAGCCAGATTGCTGGGATGTCTCAAGCGGTCCTCTGATTTTGGAACGCTTTGCGAAGATGTGTCAGGCGAGGCGCTGGTTTCAGCTCCCTCAAAGGAGGACGCCAGAAATGGTATCTCACGGGCCCGTTCGCGCCCAGATTGCGGGGATGTCTCAGGCGGTTTCCAACATCCTCTGCTGTCAGATCACAAGCGGTTTGCCTGTTTTCGTGCTCGACATTGCTCGCTGTCGGAACAATTTGTGGGGACGCCCCATGCGGTTTGCCTGCTTCTGCTATGTCCAATGTTCACAACGATACAGCAGGTGTGGCACTTGGACACTCCAGGGGAGAGCCGACAGGGGTGGGACACTCCTGGGGTTCGCGTCCAGGTTGTGGGGGGTTCTCGACTAGATTGCTTGTTTCTGTCCTCCATATTGATGTTTGTTGTGGTCCACTGCGCGCCACGACTAAGCAGCCGTGGCACTTGGGCACCCAGATGCGGACCCCCCAGGGGTGTGGACATTTTAGGATTCGCGCTCAGATTTGGGGGATGTGTCCCGCGGTTTGCCTATATCTGCCCCCAAGGACTTTCTTTGGACAAGTGTGCTCCTCAATCGCATTCACCCGCTCATTCACTCATGCACGTCCTTCTCATTTCTCCAGTCGGACGCACTCGTGCGCACCCGGAATTACTCATCAGCGCCTTTTCGCTGCTCAGGGTCATTCGTCACATTCATACGCGCTCGTGCTCAGGTTCGATCGTGCGCAGCTTTGCGCGCGCGTGGTCGCTCATACTCAAAGTCGCTGAAGCTCAGACCCACCCGCACCCAAACCAACTCACACTCAGACTCACTCGCACTCAGACAGACCAGGTCTAAGACACTCATATCCAGATTTCCCCGCGCAAAGGCTCACTTCTACTCACCATTGTTGTCAACATCGTCAAACGGTGACTCGCTCGCACTCAGGCCACTCGCACTTAGACGCGCTCGCTCCCTTACTCACTTATAAACATACACGCTTATATTCGCACGGACAATATCCTGACGCGCTCGCACTCTGGCTCGGTCGAATCCGGATCCATTCAAAATTTGACTTGCTCACACTCATATCACCCCCGCTCACATTCACTCGCACGAAGGCCCACACACACAAATGGCAACCGCGATGTAGCGGGCGTGGGACTTGGGCAACCCACGTGCCAACAGGCGCCGCGAGTAGCACGCCAGAGAGCGGGCGTAAAACGACATGCGCGCTTGCCTGAATTGAACGGCGCGAGAAACTCCCATTCGGTCTTCCACGTTTGTTCCTGTCGTTTCTCCTGGAAGATGTCCAGAGGAGGAGGAGGAGGAGGAGGAGGAGGAGGAGGAGGAGGAGGAGGAGGAGGAGGACGTCACTGAAGTCGTCGCTGTCGTCGTCGTCGTCGTCATTGCCTCTCTTGTCGTCCACGCGGGCCCGCTCTCACACCCAGATGCTCATGGACGGAACTCCCCAACGAAACGTGACAAGAGTATGAGATGCATCTGTCCGCGTCGAGCAATTGCTCGCATAGTATACTCTGCTCCTGCAATGTCTACTGTCGCGCGTTTGCTCTCTGCTGGCTTAGGTGTTGAGCAATTCGTGGGCCGACACGAGCCTTGGTTGTGATGTGGTTTGGGCAGCACTTTCTTGCGCCCCCCGCGGCCGTCACGACGGTTTCTTGGTCTACAAGCGCGGGGCGGTACTCTTCGCGCGTGGTCGAAAGGATAGGGTGTCCTCGGCTCTGCGGTTCGAGCTGCAGAATGTCGCATTTCTGCTTCGCTCCTTCGCTTCGGAGGGATGGAATAGGGGGGAAACCTTCTTTCTTCCAAGTCCAAGCCGACTCGTGCCGCGCTGGCCGTAGGCTGCCCTGCCGCCTGAGCCCTTTCGAGGGCCAGTAGCGGATGGTCTTCGCCTTCACCCGCAGCGCGGTCTACGGGTATGAGTTATCCGTACCCTGTCGGCTGTCTTCGGACCTTCTGTCGATTACTCTCCGCACTGAAGACGGTATCGAAGATGATGGCCTCAATGGTAGCTTCCACCGTACAGTCGAGCCATATAACAAGGACGCGCGATCAGAATACAAGGGCCTTGGAAGGCCACGTCGACACTTAGCGGGCAGGGCGCGGCCAGCAACAGCGCCCAAGGATGGACAGAGGAGGCAAGGATGCAAAGTTATCCTTGGGAAGATTGCCCACCCTTACTATGAGGGTTGTTGAAAGTACCTGAGGTTTGCAGTGCGTTCGCACTGCTTCGGCTGATGACTTGCGTTTAGGGTTACTCCAGTGGGCCAAAATGCCCCTTGTGTGATTATGGCCCTGGCTCGCCGTTAAGGGCGGCCGGGATAAATTTACATCGAGGTTGAATCCAAGCGTGACGACGAGAATTAAATCAAGGCCGGACCTTGGAAATACAACAGTATGAGATGAAACAACCGAAATCGAAAGAGAGCGCGCGCACGTGGAGCCGCGTGCTCATTCATCCCAGCGCCTCGCTAGCCAAATCTGCTGTCTCTCTCGCTCTCTCTCGCCCTCTCTCTCTCTCGCGCTTTCTCTTTCTAGCTCTCTCCAGCAAAAGCAGCAGCCGGAGGGGGAGACGAGGACGAGCGGAGCGGGGAAGGCCCAAGATGGACACGGGACCGACCCAGCTCCCCAGGCGGGGCTTCCGCCAATAGTAACATGTGTCGACTTCGAGAGCACAACACACGGGAACCACAACACTATTATCTGACCAAGAGTCCGACATGTCTCAGCGACCTAAGACCGCTGGAGCCGCTGGAGCCGCATTCGACCCTTAGCAAGCAGCGACACCTGAAATGGCGGCTGTGGGTGACAATGCCGAGGGGGGGAGAATTCAACGTCTTTCGCCGCCCGGAGGGCTGATCCCTCCCCCCCCTGAGGCAGCACGGGGGGCGTCCTCTCTTTCTAACTCCCGGGCCTGCGGTCGGGAACTCTCGCTTCGCGTGTCGCGGCGGTGGCCCTGGCGACACACTGTGCCCTGCAAGCGGATGGCGTGTCGCGCCGCTCCGTGGGCTGGGAGCTCGGAAAGGCCTGGGGCGTTGACGCCGGGAGATCGGGAAGTGAACAGCGTTGCGTGCCGAAGCGCGTGGGGCCAATCCCGGCGGAGCGACACGCGAAACAAGTGGCACGCGTGCCCTGGTTCTGCGCGGTGAGGATGCAAGGGCCTTGGAAGGCCATGCTGGCGTTGTCCGAGCGGGGTTGGCCAGCGAACGTTGCTAAGGAGGGCCGAAGGGGCAAGGATGCAGGCGTAACCTTGGAAAACTGCTGACCCTTACGATGCGCTTTGACTGAAAGCGAAAGCTTGCACGAGGCTGGGCGAGGGACGGGCGAGGCGGGGCGAGGAGGGGGGGGGCTCTTGGAGCCATCCCGGTGGTCTCCTGGGGCCATCCTGACCGCCATGAGGGGGCAGGAGCAGGAAGGGGGGGGGGGGGAAAGGGAGACGAGCGACCGCACGGACGACGAAGGCAGAGATCTCCGAGCCCCAGGACCCCGATGTGTAGAGGACTCCTAGATGGGGTCGGAGCAGATGGGGTCGGAGGGTCACGCCGCATCGCCGATAAATTGGCGATGCATCGGCGATGCACTGGCGATGCATCATCGTCGACGTCGGCGACGCATCGGCGACGTCGACGTGGAGCACATCGGGCCTCGCATCGAGCCGCATCGGCGATGCGGAGCGATCCTCCGACCCCATCTAGGAGGAGGAGGAGGAGGAGGAGGAGGAGGAGGAGGAGGAGGAGGAGGAGAGAAGGAGGAGGAGGAGGAGGAGGAGGAGGAGGAGGAGGAGGAGGAGGAGGAGGAGGAGGAGGAGTAGGAGTAGGAGGAGTAGAGAGGAGAGGAGGACGAGGAGGGGAGGGGGAGGAGGAGGACTAGGAGTGGAGGAGGAGGAGGAGGAGGAGGAGGAGGAGGAGGAGGAGGAAAAGGAGGAGGAGGAGAGGAGGAGGAGGAGGAGGAGGAGGAGGAGGGGGGTGGGGGAGGAGGAGGAGCAGGAGTACGAGGAGTATGAGGAGGAGGAGGAGGAGGAGGAGGAGGAGGAGGAGGAGGAGGAGGAGGGCGGGTCGCCTCAGCCCTTCGGAGAAACCCGCCACCCGGGCTAACGTGAGTGGCTGCGCCCCTCTGCACCGCCCGCCCTCCCGGTCGGGAGGGCCGCCCCTGTTAGAGCCGCCGGGCCCCGCCCCATAGGCAGCCTCGGCCTCGGGCGGCGCCGCCGCCTCCGACGCGGACGTGTCGGCGTCGGCATCGGCGTCGCCGGGCACCCCCTGGGCGTCCGGGGGAGGCGGGAGCAGCAGCGGCAAGGAGGAGGGGAGGAGGGCGAGGGCGGGGAGGAGCGAGGGGAGGAGCAGGAGCAGGAGGAGGACGAAGAGGAGGACTAGGAGGAGGAGAAGGAGGAGGAGGAGGAGGAGGAGGAAGAGGAGGAGGAGGAGGGAGGAGGAGGAGTGCAATGCCGCCCGCCTCGCCGAGGCGCCGTCGGATGCCGAGGACGGTCCTCTGGAGGCTGAATACTAAGTTGAGGGCGTCCTCTCGCGGCAGTAGGGCGGAGGAGGGCGGAGGAGGGAGGGAGGAAGGCGAGGAGGAGGAGGAGGAGGAGGAGGAGGAGGAGGAGGAGGAGAAGGACGGGTGATGGAGCTGGAGGAGGCAGACGAGGTCGAGCAGGAAGAGAGGGTGGAAAGGGAGGAAGAGGAGGAGGAAATTGAGCCAGAAAATTGGAAATTGAGCTAGACTTGCTACGGACAGACAGACGGGGAGGAGGAGGGAGGAGGAAGAGGAGGAGGAGGAGGAGGAGGAGGAGGAGCAGAAGGAGGAGGAGCAATAGAGGAGTTCCCTCTTCGCTGGGGGTGGGAGGGGGGGCGCGCGGCGCGCGTATCACGCCGAGCGTGGCGCAAGGTTGGGCCGTGGCGGCCTCGGTGCCCGCGACACACGCCAAGGACACCGAGGCCGCCATGGCCAGACCCTCGGGCGGCCCAATCCTCGGGCCGCCCCACGGTACGCCGAGGGCTCGGGAGGCCGCGGCGCCGCGCGGGCGCCGACTCCCGATCGCCGCCGAGGCGGCGGCCGCGCGGCAACGGCGCTGACCCCCTGGGCCTCAAGACTGTGACCACGCCTGCTCCGAGAGAGAGAGGTGCAGCACCGGAACCGGATGGCGTTGAGGTGAGGCCCTACGCTCAGGCATCCAACGACCATCGTCAGTGGCTCCATCGTGGAATGCCCGACCGTCAATGGCACCACACCGACCAGCATCGTGGATGGGCTCGTGAACGGCCTGATCGTGAATGGTATCCTCGTCAGTGGCCTGATCGGGACAGCGAATGGCATCGTGAGTGGCCTGCTCGTGAATGGCTCCATGGTGAATGGAATCGTGAATGGCGTACTGCATGGCCGTCCACGGTCTACACCTGGGCCCACGCCAGCACACGAGCCAGCGCCTGCTCATACACCGACGCGAGCAACAGCACAGACCGGAGCACTCAGACCCTGACCCAGTACATAGTCATCGAGACCTGCGCCTAGACCAGCCCCTCCACCCATCAGCACGACAGTGAGCAGCACCACCACTACGCCTTCGACCAGCAGCACCACGATCACGACCGCGACCAGCAACAGCACCACCAGCACCACCAGCACCACCAGAACCACCAGCACCACCAGCACAACCACCACCACCACCAGCACCACCACCACCACCACCACACTTTCTCGCCAGGAGTCACCTATCATACGACCGATCTCCTCCACAAGACCGCTGAGGGCGCCGCTGCGGTGCGGCGCCACGCATACATCACAGACGAGCAGGCCGCCGACGCCAGGGACCAGCCCGCCGACCCCTTCAGCAACGACCAGGCCAAGGAGGAGCTGGACGGGGAGGAGGAGGACCTGGAGGCAGCGGATTTGGTGGAGAGGGCCCTGGACCTGGTGGAGGCGGCGGGGGCGGGGGAACCGGCCCAGGATCAGGCGGCGGTGGCGGGGGAGACCGTGACGACGGCGGAGGCAGGGTCCCGGTGGCATGGTGGTTGCAGTAGCGGAGGTGGAGGTCCTAGGAGATGTTCTGGGGGTGATGGTGGTGGCGGCTGCGGCGGAGGCGGCCCAGGAACTGGCAGGGACATCCACGACCACATCGGCACCTGCTTCGTCTACGCCCCCACGAGCCCTCCCCGACGCACCCCTCGGCGCCCTCCCCGACGCCTTCCCCGTATCACACGACGCCCACCAGACGCCATGCACACCGTCCCGCCCGATGCCCTCCCTGCTGCACTCCCCGACGCCCTTCCCGAAGCGTTCCACCGCCCCCCTTCCGACGCGGCACCGCCTGACGCCCTTCCCCACGCCCTCCCCCACGCCTATCCCCGCGCCCTCCCCTACGTCCTATCACGGAATGTTATTGGAACCCAGAAATGTTCTAAGTACAAAAACAATGTTCTCAGAAGATAAACCCGATGTGTTCAGACAAGACAACCTCAATCAGAAATGTTCGAACATTTCGTGGAGACCACAAAAGGTTCTTAGAACATTGTTTGGTAGGGCTATAGGCGAGCCGGAACGCTTCGCCACTGCTTGATATCCCCACGCTTTTGCCCGACGACGAACCACAGCAACAGCACCACCCCCACCACCGCGACTCCGACCAGAAGCATCACCAAGACTCCATTGCTGGAGAGTTCCTGCGCCAGAGGCAGCCGCCCGACCGGCAACACCCTCGTGAGCATCATTGAAGGGGCCCCAGGACACACAAATAAAAACATACAATTCCCAGGATTCCCTATATTTTCAAATATTATCTGGGTTGTCGTCTTCCCCCCACTTCCCATATTTTCCTATATTTTCCTCGGAATCGACGAATAATTGTGTCTGTGTGTTCTTCCCCCTCCTGCATCATGAGGCACTCCAGCCACACCTCTGGGAGCAGCGCGATCGAGGAATTACAAGGCGGAGGACTCCGGCGGGCCCGGCGGCAACCCCCTGGCCAATAAACTGCCCACAACAGCCACGTCCACCATGCGACGGTAGGCAGCAGTTCGCTTCCCTGGGTCGGCAATCTCCAGTTCGAAGTCACCGAATACACGCTCTTCAAGATCCTCTGTGCAAAAGGACCACTTGCGTCCATCCAGGTATATCGCGACACTCAGATCGCCCAAACTACCGGATCCGCACACGTCCACTTCCACAACCTTCAAGACGCAGAGAGGGCGATAGGCCTACCGTGGCACTCCTGCAATACGACCACGTCAGACTTCTCTCGCACAGCGAGCGGGCAGTAGCGCGGGTTTCCGATTGCACTGCGACATCGGCGCACGATGATCCGAACAAAATATGAGCACTCCGAGAAGTAATTCGGAAGCGAGGCTTGAGAACAAAAGGAACCTCAATGCTCTCATCGTCATTGGCGTCGCCCCACGAAACGTCCCCCGACGAAGCATCACCCTCGGACGATGACGACGCCCCGGTAGAAGCCGTCGAACCCGACGAAGAGGAAGAAGACAAACAAAAAAAACAAAGACACTAATCCGCACCTGCCTATACTGGGTCGCGTCTATATTCGTCAAATGAAATAAAATCAGCACGTGGCTGCGCAGACTCTCATCTTCTCTATGCCACTACGCTTGCAATTGAATGTGTAGAGGTCGTCGGCAGCGACGCAGGTCACACGGTGCAGCGGGCCAGGCACGCCTCGAAACAATATCCAAATCTCGTCACCCTTTATCGAATGGAACTCTTTCCTGGATCCGTCACCTCCCATACGCACAGACTGAGACCAGAGTCCGTTCTTCATTGTCATCTCCTTCATGGGAACCCAAGCTCGTCCTAGCTGCCGCTGCCAACTGCAAGCGTCTCCAGGAAGGTCGCTACATCTCGAGCTGGCTGGTCAAAAGGTCTTTGTGGGCTGCGCAGCACTACTCGCCGAAGCAGCTGAAGGAGCCGCCGCAAACGTAGCTGCCTTGACCGCTGCCTTCATGGAGTCCTTGTCGCGATGCACGTTCTCTGAACGTTCCTTGAACTGGTTCTGGAGGGCGATATCCGCCTTTCTGGCCCCTTCAGGGGGTTGCGCCGAATGGTTCTCTATACCGAGCACTCTCGTCTCCAGACCATCGATATTAATGAATTCCGCCATCGCCGCCTGATGGTTGACCACCATCTCCTTCATCCTCTCCTCCATATGATACATGCCCAGTGACCACGGCGCTCTCCTCCATCGCCTTCGAGATTCTCTTCACTCGCGCGGGCGACGTATGATCATCATCCCCAGCAGCCTTGACGCTGGTGGCCTTGGACATGGCGGATGGGAGGTCGACTGGCCTGGTCGGCTGCGACCAAGTTCCGGCCACCAGGGCGGAGGTTGGAAAATGAGCCAGAATTCCTACGGAGAGACGGACGGGGAGGAGGAGTAACATTTTAAGAAGGGAGGGAAAAGAAGGAGGAGGGGGAGAAACAGGGAGGAGGTGTAAGAGCACGGAAGAGAGGAGGAGCAGATAATGATCCGGAAAGTCTCGCTACCCGAGGATGGGGGCGGCCCCCCCTGGCGCCTGCAAGAACCGCAGACCGTGCCAAAACGCCCTCTGGGCACCCGCCTCCCCCGACACGCAGGGAGGCCGCACCCAGGGCCGGCACCAGGGAGAGACCGCCCCCCCCAGAGCCCGAATCCTCAGAACGAGGCCACCTTCTCTTCGCTCCCCCCCTCAGCCCGCGGGGTCCCTGGCGCCCTCCTTGGACGCTGCGAAGTCCGCAAAGATGGACTCGAACTCGTCCTAAGAGGGCTGGCCCTTGCCCCAGAAGGCCTACACTGCCTTCGCGACGCAGCCGACGGCCTTCTCACCCTTCTCGCCGACGACCCCCGCCGCAAGCGCTTCCAGCGTGCCTGGAGCCCGCAGCTTCGACAGCAGCTGCACGACCTCCGCACGCAGGTCCCGCTCTCCGTCGTCCAGGACCGAGGCGGTCTTGTCCTTCGCCTGCTTCTTCTTCTTCTTCTTCTTCTTCTTGCCCGCCGACTTGGCCACGCCATTGCCTAGGGAGTCGCTTCCGACGCTGTCCTGGGGATTCGGCCCCAGGTCCGTCAGCCCGCTCCATGGCCCGTCGGTCTTCTCCTTCTGGTCGGCGCGTCCAGCATAGTGCACGTCGGCCCTCAGGTCCAGCGTGTGCCACTCTATCAGCGCCCCGAGCTAAATAGCCTGCGCGTGCGCGGCGTGCGCGGCGTGCGCGACCGAGGGTTCGGGCCACTCGCGCCCATCGCCCAGGCCCTCGCCCACGGTGCCGAAGATGCCGTGCCCTGCGCCCACGGCGCCTCCTGAAACCGCGCCTTGTACGCCACCTGCGGCGCGGTGCTCTTCTTCTCCTTGCACTCCTTCTTCTTCTTCTTCTTCTTCATCTTCTTATTCTTGGAAGCGACCTCTGTTGACGACGGCTGGTCCAACACCAACCCCGCCGCCTGCTGCATATCCAGCTCGGGCGCCTTCTCGGTCGCCGCCTGCGCTCCGCGCTCCGCCACCTCGACGGGGTTGGGCTCCTTCTCCGCGCAGCGCTGTCAGCGCGTGAGCTTGTGACCTTCGGGGGGCCCGCCTCCTGCTCCTCCGACTCCAGCGGCGTGGCCGAGATTGCAGGGGGCCCTGGGAAGCACAGATGAATACACACAAATAACAGGATTCCCGATACGTTCCCATATTCTCGGGGCCTGTGCCTCCCCCCCCCCTCCTCCCATAGTTCCCCAAATTTCCCTGGGGATCGACGATCACCTGCGCCTGTGTGCTCTCTTCCCCTCCCGGGAGAGCTGCCCTTACGAGGCTGCCCGGCATCGGCTCGTGGCCGCCCGTCGCCGCCCTCCCGCAGCCGGGGCCTGGCCCCCCGCCGCCCAGGCGGCGGCTCCGCCGCAGGCCGCGACCGGGCGGCCCAGCCCGAAGACCTTCGCCGAGACCTCCCGAGCTGCTCCTCGGCGCCGGCCTGCTCCTCCCCGCGGGCCTCCGCCGGCTACATCGGCTGCGCCGCGAAGCTGTCCTTCCCCGTGTGGTTGTTTGCCCGCCAGGGCTTGGTGATACAGTCCTCCATGACGGCCCCCTGGTGGACACAGGTCGGGAAGACCTGGGTCGTCTTGGGCGGGCTGGGCAGCTCGATCCCCAGGTGGTGCAGGACCAGTACCCCGTGGAGCGATGCGCGATGTCGAAGAGCTTGCCGCGTGGTTTACGCGGCCTCGTGGAACATGTTGTCGTTTTTCCCGATGTCGGTGATTTTCTGATGATATCTGATGGCGTGGTACAACCGGTATGCTAAAGCCATACGCGTGACCACATGCTTGACGTGGTCGTCCGCCCAGACGGGCACCGTGGAGTTGTCGTCGTGGAGGGCGAGAAGAGCGAGAACGCATCGATGGAGGCGACCTCGAGGCAGCGCCAGAAGATGCCGGAGCCGCGGGCAGACAAGGTAGTGCGCGGTGGAGTATGCGTGGGGAGACTTTGTCACAGCCAGAAGCGCAGCTTCGACGATCAGGCTGAACGTGAAGGCGGTAGCTTGTCGCCCATCCATCAGAAAGCGTCTTCATTACAGGCCAGAAGCTGGATGGCGGCAGCGTCGAAAGCTGCGACCTCAACTGCCTCCATTGGATCTTCACCGGACCATGGAGCTGCCTGGCGAGGTCGTCCACAGCAGAGGCGTCTTCGTTGATCCGGCTGTTGGTGGTACCCATCAGCGTGGGGTCCGAGGGGTCGTTGATCGGGCCAGCTGCAGGAAGCCATTCGCGTCGCCGACGATGTTCAGCGACCGCCAGGTTGAGCTCGAGCTGCGCTCCTGCCGTCCGCGGCGTGCGCTCCCAGTAGTGTATCCTCATCCTTCTGCTTGCCGCCGAGTTGTCGAGTGCGCGCTGGCAGATACGGAGCGCACGATACCGAAGCGCGAACTCGCTGGAGTCCAGGAACACGGCATGGAAGTTCCTCCGCCGCAAGATCACGTAGACATATTACACCCACCATGCCACCCGGTCATGATCCCTCATCTCGGAGAAGTTCCAGTTGCCCAAGTACAGGTCAGGGAACCAGTCGCCATTCCAGTGGGCAAGAACCTCTTCCAACGTGTCCAGCTGTTGACGGACGGTGTCCCAGTCGCGTTCTCGTTATCGTCGGGAGTGGCTGCTGGTGCAACCTAACGATTTGGTGGTGCCGCTCGCTGAGGACGTCCTCGTTCAGCCACTGGGATAGAAGGAAACCATGCGCGCAGTTGTTTGGCAATGGTAGCGTCGAAGTTGTCCACGTAGAGGTGGCGCTGGAGCTCGAGGAGGAGGAGGAGGAGGAGGAGGAGGAGGAGGAGGAGGAGGAGGGGTGGAGGAGGGCGGGACGAGGAAGGACGCGGAGGAAGGAAGAGAACAGGATGAGGGGGATAATGAACAATCTGACGCCTCGAACAATCGTTCCCGCGGCGGCTGGACAAGGGAAACGGAGGCAGGAGAGGGAGAAAGAGGCGGAGAACCAGAGACGAGGGGGATGAGGGTCATTCCTAGCGTAGGGCGTCGGGGGCGTGAGAGGCGTGGGTGCTGTTCCCAGCACGCGGCCAAAGGCCGTTAACGTGGCAGCACGCACCGCGCCCAAACCAGCAACCAGAACGGCAGCAGCACTGCGTCGGCCTGCACGCGGAAGCGCGGCGGACAGACCACAGCCCAGAAACTCGACGGCCGAAACAACAGCAGCACGCGCCCCCGACCCGGGCGCGCAGCCAACACGCGCGCGGGCGGCCAGCACCAGTTGTTTGACGAGCGGGGTGGCAACGGGGGGGTGACGCTCGGGCGGGCGGCAATTGAGGGGTGACCTCAGTGGGACGTGAAGGCAAGGGGCCCTAAGGGGACCCTTGAGGGCTCCTTTTTGGGCCCGGCCGCGCCCACCCCTCCCCTGCCCCATGTCCCCATTTGCACCAGCCCGCCCCTCCCGCCCCACCGCCAGCCCCACCCCATCCCGTGCACCCCCCGCAGAGGGGTCCTCTGCGGAGAGGGGAGGGGTGAGTATCGTTCAATCGATCCCCATCCCCAGCGGCGTGGCCTGGGCCCCACTGGCCGATTTACCCCCCCGATGATAATTTGGTGGGGGTCTCGAAGGAGATGGGGATGGGGATTTGTTAATCGATACCGAAGGGGGGGGGTCTTGGATCGGGTCGGTCGCCCAGGCTGCTGCCAGCCTGCACGGGGCGGCCATCGAGGGGCGTTCCTGCGAGGTCCGCGCGGAGGAAGCGGGCCCTGGGCACAGGCAGCCCTGGCTCAGTGTATCCGTGTTCGGTCTCGCGGGGCCCTCTCCAGGCCCGGGGGCCGTCACCAGCACTACGCTTGTGGATGCCACGACAATTGACACCCTGACAGTCCGATCATTGAATTGTAACATGTGTTTAACGTGTCGGAACACTGTTCTGACCATGTTCAAAACATGCTCTCAACATTGTAAGTCATGTTTCACTTATGCTTTAGACACCTGGCAAGTATTAGGCAACATGCGTCCTCCCCATTGATCGTCCTCCACAACACTACTCAGGAAGGCCGATCCAGGAGGAAATGCCTCGGGATCCAGGGCACGCTTCCCTCGGGACCCCCTCTTTCCACGTCCTCTGAACACGGCGCTGCTTACAGCGCGCCAGTAGCGGTACGAAGCGGGGTGGACGGGGAGAAAGCCTCCGAGAGATCCGCAGGAGCTGGCAGAGGCAGCAGGGGAGGGGGTAGCCTGTGACGCGTTCACAAGGGAAAAAACGCGCTGACTCGCCATCGGTACAGTTTGGTCAGGGCTCTCCGTTCTCGGATACGATATAGCGCATCGGTGGGCATGACAATGAGGGAGTTTTGCAATACACATGGTCAAACGAGGCGCGACACAAGATACGGTAGAGGAGAGGACGAACATGACACGCACAAGAAACTGCGTATGACAATAATGGACAAATGGGTCGTGCAGACAGATGCACATCGCGATGGTAGAAGCTACTTGTCCTTGGACTGCTCGTCGAGTATGACCAGCTGGCGCTGCGTCTGTCTTATATCATCGTCCTGGACACAGAAGAAGATAGAGGGACATTGAAGCGAGAGGCGAATTAGGGATGCAGCTGCGGCGAGCAGCACACTCAAGAAAAGGACGGGGAGCGGGAGCAGGGAGTGCATACGCGCATACAGGTATGCTGGCGGAGAGGGCCACAATGCACGAGGCATGGGTCAAGGAGAGGACACGGCATATACATGGAGGCAAGAGAGAGGGAGAGAGGGGGAACGAGCGAGAGGCAGATGGAGATAATGGAGAGCATGTAGAAGGAGATGGTCAACGCTATATATATATATATATATATATATATATACACATATAAACACATATGTTCATATACAAGCGTACAGAGAGGAATAGAGAACGCAAGAGAGAGAGAGAGAGAGAGCGAGGGCGAGAAAGAGAGAGAGAGAGAGGAGGGATGGAAAAGGTGAGAAGGGAGAGACATATATATATAGAGAGAGAGAGAGAGAGAGAGACACCTGTATAGGGACAAAGACATAGAGAGAGGTAGAGAGAGAGAGAGAGAGAGAGACTGATATATATATATATATATATATATATATATATATATATGAGGAGAGGGAAAAAGATAGAGGGAGAGAGCCAAAACGCAACAGCCCCTCAAGTCGCCCCGGTAGTTATGTCGGTGCACCAATGCCGCATGCTGTGAGAAACCTGGGACAACACAGCTGATCTGACACAGCATCGGAACCCGTTCAGAAGAAGCGTGTCACCTGAGGGTGGAGTGAGTTTTCTCCTTCGCCACGGACCTCGTTGAAGCATAGCGCCTGCCAGTGTTTGTCAGTTTGTAATGTTTGCCAAGTGGCGGCGATAGCGATATCTGGGGCACTTTGTCGTCCGCCAACATAATCACGCACACATCTAAACAAAACTACCAAAGCAAATAACACAAATGCAAATTACGACACTGCCAAGGAGGGCTCAATATCAGGTTTTGTAGCTCGTCCTCCCTGCACCGTCCGGACACATCTTCAGCTCTACCGATCCCTCATGGCCCCTCACTCCTACGGGGGGCTGCTGCAAACGCGCCTCGGCGGGGCCGTCCACGGCCAGAAAACAAATCATATCTCATCTCAAAAAAGATCCCTCTTCAGAGCCTGAATCCACGGATTCCGCATCCGACTGCGGAGAAGTCCCCTCCTCGCGCCGGCGCACCCCGAGCGCAGCAACCCAGCCTTTGCCCTCCCGGCGAAGCCCGCAACAAGACAGGATGTAGTCTCGAATGGGCGGCTGGCGCGGGAGTTTGCGCCCACTGGTGCTGTGGCCGCTGGCGGGCTCTGCCTCCACGGCCCCGCGAGCGATTCGATTTTCGGCTTGCCCTTGGTCGCCAAGGAGCGCCGCAAGGCGAACGCGGTCTGTGCGCGAGGGCGTGGTTGGCACCTCGAGAGTCCAATGTTTGGGGTTGGTCCTATGACGCAGGTACTCCTGCTTGGTCACCCGTCAAAGCTGCTCCTTGGCCAGCGCACGCTCCTAGGCACGGCCCCCGCCGCAGGGCCTTCCCTGGGCTGGCCCCTGTGAAGCACCCTCCACATTTGACGCAAAACAACAGTGCTTTGGGCGCTTGCGTGACGGTCGCTTAGACTGTCCCGTGCCCTGCGACTTGAAATGCACAGCTATCGAAACTGCTCCAATCATGGGGCCACTCCCACGGGGGAGACGGGGGTGGGGCAGGGGGAAGAGGAGGGGGGACGAGGACGGGAGCGAGGAGGACAGGGGAGGACGACAAGGCGAAGAACAACAAGGGGGGAGGAGGAGGAAGAGGAGGAGGAGGAGGAGGAGCAGGAAGACAATAAGGCGGAGGAAGACAATACACACCCCTAGTTGGCCTAAAAACCTCGCCCAGACATGCATATCCAGCGAAGCTGTGCGATATAGTTTGGATCACCTTTCACACGCACTCTCTGACAAGGTAATCCAATCGAAGCTCAGGCCTGAGACGAGATAATTTGTCGAACATCGTCGGGCTGTCATCTTGGACGGCCCCTCTTTCGCCCAGCGGAAAAAGCATTGAATTACGAGCGAGGCGTGCCGAGCTCGAGGGTGGCTGAGGGCGGGCAGACTTTGAGCCACCGCAGTTGCGGGGGGTCAGCATTTACAAGCACGGGCGAGGAGGGGCCTGTTGGGGTATTCACGTCTACGACTATACACACCCCTAGTTGGCCTAAAAACCTCGCCCAGACATGCATATCCAGCGAAGCTGTGCGATATAGTTTGGATCACCTTTCACACGCACTCTCTGACAAGGTAATCCAATCGAAGCTCAGGCCTGAGACGAGATAATTTGTCGAACATCGTCGGGCTGTCATTTTGGACGGCCCCTCTTTCGCCCATACCCATATCATGAACTGGTGGCCGCTACATCTCACGAATCTTTTGAAGGAGGACCTGCGGCAGGCGCGTGCTGCGCTCCGCCGCCTTCCTCTGCTTGGCCAAGGGAACCTTGCGCAACTGCTGCAAGATCAGGGCCCCCTTCTCGTAGCGAGCCACCGACGCGGACGATGCCCATCGCCCGCGCTTCTGAACCTCTTTCAACGTCCTCCGGGAGTGCGCCTTGTCGTTGCTGGCGCCTGAGTGCCGGAAGACGTGCGGGCACACGCCCAGGGAGGTGTAGCCCAGGCGGCAGGCCGACTTCTTCACCTCGCGCTCGTAGTCGCCGAGGGTGAAGTCGAAGATCTTCTTCTTGTCCGACACGTTGGGCTTGTGGAGCAGCCGCAGCACGCTCGTGAGCCAGGGCCTCGCCACGTCGCCCACGAGCAGGCTGTCGCCCTGGCCGCCCGTCTTCGTGGTCTCGTGCCACTCCGAGGGCGCGATGACGATGCCATAGTGCGCGCCGAGCTTCGCGACCGGCGCCGGCGGCAAGATCTGGCCCTGCCTCAGCCCCACCACCTCGGAGGGCCGCGTGTAGGTGTCTGTCTGGATCACCACCGCGGCCCCCATCAGGGGGTTCCCGTGCTCCACCAGGTCCAGCGCGATGTCGTCCACGATGATGTCGGGCAGCGGCAGACGCATCCTCCCGGGCGCCCGCTTCGCCCAACCCTTCAGGGAGGCCAGCGCCTTAGGTCGACCTTGCCCGTCGTCCTGAGCTTCAGCAGCCTGTACCCGTAGAAGGCGTTGCGCCCCTCCCAGACCCCGAAGCCGTCGTCGAACAGGTCCACGAAGTAGAGGGAGAGGCTGTCGTCCAGGCGTGCTAGCGGCTGCAGCGGCAGGCGCCTCTCCTTCGCGTAGGTCTCGAACTCGTGGACCGCCGTCGCGTACCTCTCCAGCGTGCCTCCGGTCACCGTCGCCATGATCAGCGAGTCCTTCCGCGGGACGGTGATGGGGCCTGCCCGCCGGGGGCCTGTAGGCTGCCGCGGTCGGCCCTTCCCCGGTGGCGGCTGCCGCCCAGTCCGGGTGGGCCCTCCAGCGCCGGGGCCGCTCGTCCTGGCCGAACTGGATGATCGGGTCGTGCTCGAGGAACGAGTCGGCGGCCTGGCAGGCTGGCTCACGGGGTTCATCGACCTCACCGTGAACCGCTGCTCCTCGAGCCGCCGGGCGACGGCCCGCGGCCCGCTGGAGGCCATGGCGGACCTCGCTGGGGTCGAAGGCTCGCTGGCCCGGGCGTATGTCGCCCGGCAAGGCCGAAGAAAGGAGCCTGGCCCAACACGAGCCCAATGCTGGCGGGTAGGCGGCGGCAAGTGGTGTGAGATGACCGTGTAGCAAGACCGAGAGTTTATGTCGAATGCGAGGTCGATCTCCCAGGGACTGTAACGCTCTCAGGTTTGTCAGGATTCGAGTAGGTTTCCGATAGGCCGTGCCATACATGCTCATATCGAAGTTTACCTCGACGACGTCCGCGAGTCCATGAAGGCGAGCGATCGGGTCGAAGTTCCAGAGTCTCGAAGTCCGGGGGTTTTCCACACTCCAATAACACCCACGACGGGATAGGATATGACACAACGTAGCCGTAAACAGTGCGAACTCGATGCCCAGACGTTCCCGGGCCCTGGCTCGAACATGGTTTCGGATCCCCCTCCGAGCGATACTCCAAACCTGACAAGGCGTTCCCAGGTGCACATACATCAAACGCCCTTCTCGGGCCAGCCTCAGGATATACTCTTGTGTACTGCGACGAGAAAGATCAAATTCCCAGCCGTCTCTGATATCAACTGAATCCGCGAAGGGAAGCCCCTCCGCCAGGCAGGCTCGAGTCAGCTCCCCCTTTCCACCGAAGAGCTCCATACAAAAAACTGATTTACCAGGCTCGCTCTGAATTGACGGGCGTACAACAGATGCTGAAGATGCCGACGGAGGTGACCGAGAAGAGGAGGAGGTCGTGTAACTCGCAGCTGGAGCGGACAGGCTCGGGGCGGCGTCTCGACGCTCGGGCCCCCGGTTCAGCCCAGCCGGCTTCTTCAGGTCCCAGCGCCGGGAGTCCTCGTCACTCGGGTTACGGTCAGTCTCGATGTACCTGAGCCGCCAGGAGATCTGCCCCCCCAGGCGGTAGGCGGCTGCGCGCCCGCAGAGGGCCTGCAGGCCCGCGCTGGAGCGGCCCTTCTCGAAGGCCCCGACGGTGACCTGGCTGTCGCTGATCGAGAGCAGCTTTGTGCCCATGAACTTCACCGATCGTCAGTGCCGTCGGAGCCCCATCAAGGCGACCCTCGCCTCCTTGAGGTTGATGTGCTCGTCCTGCCAGCGCCAGCGGTCCGCGGCGACCAGCTTGTAGCGGCGCCTGGCCACCCAGCTGTCCTCCAAGGCGGGGATGCCCGAGTCAAGATGCAGCTGGGTGCGGCCTCGAGCCGGCTTCGCAGCGCGGCTTCGGGCCGGAGAGGGAGCCAGGCCGCTCGCATCCTCCGGCGCCTCCGCCTGACTCAGCAGGGACTGGCCGAAGGCGGTCCTCGGGCCAGTCCCAGATCATGCGTTACCGAAAAATTTGGGGAACGAGCGGGAACGACCGAGACCGACCGTTACCGACGAAATTTCGGGCTCGGTCGGTCGCGGTCGGTCGCGGCCGATGTGCCTGTTTCGGGCTCGGTCGGTAACGGGTTTCCTGACGAATTCGGCGTGTTGAGACTGACAAACGCACCCTCCGCTACCGTCCGTTACCGATCCTTGCCGACCGCTACATTCGCTTTAAACTCACGTATGACGGTGCGTACATATCTAGATG